CTGGGTTCAATTCCTCAGCACCACATAAGCAAAAAGAAAAAAGCTGGAAGTGGCGCTGTGGCTCAAGTGGTAGAGCGCTAGCCTTGAGCTGAAGAACTGAGGGACAGTGCCCAGGCCCAGAGTTCAGGCCCCATGACCGGACCTCTCCCCCCAAAAAAAGATAATAACATTAATTAAAATACTTGATGACAATTCATTCTACTCATAACCTGACTTATGGAATTGTAACTCTGTTGTACAATAGAAGAAAAAGAATAAGATGACAAAAAAAACAGGATACTTTACTCAATATCTATTATATTTAATTACTAAAAATATTTACCACAATTAGAAACTTAAATGGGTTCTTTGTGAACAAACTAAGTGCCTCTGCATTTTAGTACCATCTAACTACTACCTTACATACTAGAGCAAGTCAATTAGAGCAATACCTATAGAGACTCATAGACTCAAAGCACAGAAGCTAAGAGAACTCGGATTTGGTGTTTTCTTTTTTTTTAAATCTATTCTTCTATGTAGGTGTGGAGGAGATTAAAAGAAAAAGCACGGATATGAAATGTGATATTTTGGGGTGGGAATGTTATTATCTGAAATAGAGAATTCATGAGAAAGAGCCTTGAATTCAGTTGGGTGAACTGAGCTTAAGAAGTGTTAATAGGGAGGATGGAGGTGGGGGGGAGGATGGGAAGGGATGGGAAGGGGAAACAAAGGAGGAGGCTATAACGCTTGATAAGAAATGTACTCATTATCTTGCCCATGTAATTGTAACCCCTCTGTATAGTATTTTCACAAAAAAAAAAAAAAAAAAGAAGTGTTAATAGGGCTGGGAATGTGGCTCTGTGGTAGAGTACTTGCCTGAATGAGGCCCTGGCTAGTGGTAGAGCACTAGCCTTGAGCTGAAGAGTTGAGGGACAGCACCTAAGCCGAGAGAGAGAGAGAGAGAGAGAGAGAGAGAGGAAGGAAGGAAGGGAGGAAGGGAGGAAGGGAGGAAGGGAGGAAGGAAGGAAGGAAATGTGATATTTCATAAAATTTTTGCAATTAGTACTGATGAATCCTTCTTGAAAAGGTCATCTGAAGGACAGATTTGGTAATGAAGAAGATGCAAACATCTGCTGGTCTTCCTACGTCTGTTCACATGTCTTTTATATGTTCCTCTATATAATTCAAAGCTTTTAGAAGCATTAGATCTCTATTTTTGCTAAAGAGAAAACTGATCCTCAGAGGGATTTGAAACTATGATAATCTTCAACATACATTATACATTCATTGTTGACTTTGCAGAACTGAAATCTATAGCTTGCACCTTTAGGTCAGTCCCCTGGGAGTAAGAGGAAGGGTTAGCCAACAAATATATAACAATACAAAGTAGGAGAAAAGGGTGATAGATGAGAGAAAAGAGTGACAAGACAGAAGTGGAGAGAAGTGTCCTCAACCAAGTCATTTCTGAGTAAGCTTTCTAAAAAGAAATGCTGGTCTTAGTAACTTAGTAAAGGACAACACTACAATGTTCACAGAATTGTCGAGGTTTTCATTGCAGAATATATTTCATGACTAGTTCTCTAATGCTAAAATGTGAGATCATATAATAATTGTTTGAAAGATTCAAAGATGAAATTAACATGATTCTTCAGCATTAAGTCCAACAGAACTCTATTGTTAATGCACTGTTTGAGATTTCAACCTAAATGAGCATCATATAGCCAAAGAGAATTAGCCAGAAGGGCAAGAAAATAAGGAAGAAATAGCAGAAGTTAATCAGTGAACAGCTTATAGAACAAAGCAACAAAAGACTTTCATGTTCCTGAATATACACTGAGGCCTGGGTTAAAAGCCCATCACCAAGGACCACTTGGGAAATCTGTTTAAATATAAACTTTCTGGACTGTTAACCCCAAACAATCCAAAAAGCAACAATTACTTATTTATACAGACAGTTCCATCCTAACATTCTCCCCAATTTCTTTATCCTGTCCTTCTTATTTACAGCCAATGTAGATTCAATGTAGATAATACTCTCCTTCCCACAAATATTATAAAAACATGCTCAGTTCTAGGACCAGTAGATATCTTCCCAACTGCTGTCTACATGACTTATTCTAGAATTTAACCATAAGATAATTAAGCTACTGATGCAGTGAGGAAGATTCCAGGTAGGAGAAATCATTCTAGGTCCAAACCTGAAAGGGGTTGCCACACTGTTACTTGACTGTGTCAAGAAAATGCTCCCTGCTGGCAACTTCACTCTTCAATGATACTCTTTGCTGTTAGTGATTACAATGGGATTGCAACAAAGGAGGCCTCCCCGCCCTCTAACTTCTAAAAGACAAGTTCTACACCTGAGGAGAACATGGGACTTTAGGATAAACTCACCGCAAAGAGTATTTGGAATGCTTGATGTGGAAAGGCTCTCTGGGACTCAAAAACTTGAGCTGGAATTCAATAAGAAAACACTTTATAAAGTTAGACAAATGTTTTTGCATGTATCAAATATCACACTATAAAGACACATTATGTAAATTTAGTTACAGTCACAGTATTATGTAGGATAACAATGTTCCTGTAATAAAACCACATTTAAGTAAGCTTTGTTTTTTGTTTTTTTTGTCAGTCATGGGGCTTGAACTTAAGGCCTTGGCACTGTCCCTGAGCCTTTTCACTCAAGGCTAGTGCTCTCCCACTTTGAGCCACAGCGCCACTTCCTTAAGGAAGTTTTTTTGTATTTTTGTTTTTTGGGTCCGGTTGTGGTGCTGAGGAATCGAACCCAGGGCCTCAGGCATGCAAGATAAGCACTCTACCACTGAGCCACCTTCTCAGCACCCCCTTAAGGAAGTTTTAAACTAAATGTTTATCCAGAATTATGTCTGTGAGAGAGATATACAGTGCAAGAGAAAAAAAAGTTAAAATTTTTGATTTTCAAATATAAGACCATGAATTTCCAATGACTTTCTTTACAAATACAGTATTAAGTCATTTCTAAAAATTAGCTCATCATCACAATATATAATATGTAATATATAAAATGTATTTCTAACCAACAGGAAAATAGTTGTCAAACCATTGAGCATTTAGAATGCATTTACCTTTCTAAAACCCACAGTAACATTTCCAACTTACTGAGTGTGTAATGAAAGAACTATTCCTCAGATTAACTTTCAGTGTCCGTGATTCCCCGACTCTGGTTGGCAGGAACACATACACATCTTCTGGGGCATATACGCCACGCTGACTCAAATCACCTTGCCTGCTTTGGGAACAGATTTGAAAGGTATCTATTTAGAATCTATAACAACTATTTTTATATATTGTGTTTTCTCTCACAACTTAATCTTTTTTTGGGGGGAGGGGTCAGGGTCAGTCATGGGGCTTGAGCTCTGGGCCTGGGCGCTGTCCCTGAGCTCTTTAGCTCAAGGCTAGTGCTCTACCACTTGAGCCACAGCGCCACTTCTGGCTTTTTCTGCTTATGTGGTGCTGAGGAATTGAACCCAGGGCCTCATGCACGTAAGGCAAGCGCTCTACCACTGAGCTACCTTCCCAGCCCCTCACAACTTAATTTTTAAAAAATCATTTTACCTAGTCCATATGAGATGTAGCAGGAGGCGCTTACAAAGCTGCTAGGTGAGTGAGGGGTGCACTGTGGGCACAGCCTTCTCTGCCTTCTTCCCCTCTCTTTAAAGCCTGGCTGCTTGCCTGCCACAAACCCAGTCAGTAGCAAGCAGTCCTTCTATCTCAGTTCTTGTCTCCTGGACTACTCAAGCTGTGCTCTGTGAGCTGCTCTAAATTGTCGGAAGAATGCTGACTTCTCTTGACTCCCTCCCAGCAGCCCATGGTGAAGGGAGCACTTTCTTCAGTCCTGATTTTACAAGTTAACTATTTCAAAAACTTCTGGCCTTTCCGGGCCACCTCTGCTCCCTAACATCTCTGCAACCTTTTCCCAAGGCTTGATCTGGGACTTCCTAACTGCTAGTACAATGTTCCTGTCCAGGCAGTTCTATCCCTGAAGGGCTCTACAATGCCTACAGGTATACCTCAGTTCTTACTGGGACTCTTAAGTACCATACTCCATCTTTAGTCAGGACACAATGACCACTTCCCAGTATCTCCAAGACATTTTAGGCCCTACAAACACAAATATTTAAACCTGTAATCCCTCACCTCCCTATCTTCTATCTGTACTTCTAAGTATTTAGACAGTTGTTCTGGCAGCTCCTCTGACACCCTCTTCTCTCTCTTGACTCTTTATCGACATCATTGAGTCCTTAGGTCTCTGTGCTACAGACCTTTCCAATCTGTTTATTCTTGTCATGTCTCTGACACAGTTTTACTCCTGCACTACTGAAACACAGCCATGACTTGTGCCCTCTATGCTGTGTCTCCCTGTAATCAGTCTGTTCCACAGAGGACTTTCTGGGTACATGTGTCCTATCATGCTCCCACAAGCGCCTCTGCAGCCTCTCTCTCTCTCTCATACAAGGTTCCAGAGACCACAGACTGTTGCCCAGTCCTTTCTACAGCTGGCAACTTTACTCACCTCTCCCTCTCCTGACTTATGTAAATTGCTCATATAAAATTTCATGTTAGCCAGGTGCTGGTGGCTCACACCTCTAATCCTAGCTACTCAGGACACTGGTAACTGAATATCACAGTTCAAAGCCAGCATGGGAGGAAAATGATGAGACTCTTATTTCCAATTAACCAGAAGTGGTGATGTGGCTCCAAGTTGTAGAGCACTAGCCTTGAGCAAAAAAAGCTCAGGGACAGTGCCCAGGCCCGGAGTTCAAGCCCCACAAGCGACAAAAAATAAATTTGCATTTTTTTTCTTTTTCTTTCTTTTTTTTTTTGGGGGGGGGGGGGGGGGGTCCGGTCATGGGGCCTGAACTCTGGGCCTGGGCACTGTCCCTTAGCTCCTCAGCTCAAGGCTAGCGCTCTACCACCTGAGCCACAGCACCACTTCCTGGCTTTTTTCTTTTGCTTATGTGGTGCTGAGGAATCAAACCCAGGGCCTCAGGCATGCAAGGCAAGCGCTCTATCACTAAGCCACCTTCCCAGCCCCTGCTTTTTTTTTCTTTGTTGGTCATGGGTCTTTAACTCTGGGCCTTGGCGCTGTCCCTGCGCTCTTCAGCTCAAGGCAGCACTCTATTGCTTGAGCCACAACGCCACTTCCGGTTTCCTAGTGGTTTATTGGAGATAAGAGTCTCACAGCCTTTCCCGCCTGGGCTGGCTTTGAACCGCGATCCTCAGATCTCAGCCTCCTGAGTAGCTAGGATTACAGGCGTGAGCCACCAGCACCCAGTAAATTTACTTTTTAAAGTTTTAAGAATCTACTATCATATGCTACTTGTGAGGATATAAAATGGCACAAATGCTTCAGGAAAACTATTAAAGCTTATTTTAATGTTAAACGTAATTATCATGTGACCCAGAAATTTTTAGTCCAAATAAAAACTTATGTCCATGGAGGTGGCACTGTGGCTCAAGTGGTAGAGCGCTAGCCTTGAGCTGAAGAGCGCAGGGACAGCGCCCAGGCCCAGAGTTCAAGCCCCACAACTGACAAAAACAAAAAATAAAAATAACTTATGTCCAACTATGTTGAAAATGAACTTTACAACTGGCGGGGGAGGGGGGGCGGGGGGAGATGGAGATGTAGAGGGAAAGGATGGTAGGGGAAAAGCAAAAGAGGAGGTAACAATGCTCGATAGGAAATGTACTCATTACCTTACTCATTTAATTGTAACCCCTCTGTACACTAATTTTACAATAAAAAATTATGCCCATAAAAATGCATCAATTAATCCTAAAAATGTTACACTGAAAGAAACCTAAAACAAAGAGTACATTAGGCATACACAGTCTCAAGCAAAACTTATCTGTAACAAACCAGCATGGAATAAATCTTGACTGCAAAGGGAGGGACATGTAGAGATTTTCTGGAGACAACACTCTCTATCTTGATCAGAGCTGTAGTAAACTACAGGATCCCACAGGCAAGTTACTAAACATCTTACACTAAAGCTATACCTCAGTAACATATGGGGAAACTCCTAAAAATGACATAAACAGCATACATACCCAAGTGGGAGAGCAGAAGCCTCCAATGAAGCACACTTTCGGGACATACCTACATTATCTACTTTAATGAGTCTATCAGTGGAAGAGCGTGCCTTTCCAGGTTTATTTTCTGCTCTGATGCTCTGTATAGAAAAATCACAGGTGGAGGTTTGGGAGAGGAGAAAAATAAATAGAGGAAACATAGACATTTACCTATTGGAATTAAATTTTTAAGATGGGATATGATTTTTAAATCCCAAATTGTATTTTTTTGTGAAGAAAGTCTTTTTTTTTAATGTACAGAACAAGGGTTCTCCATGGGTAGACTTCCATGACTTGATATAGCTGGCAAGTTCACAAACTTCCCATATATAAAATGGCAAACTACTGTGAGTTTATGTTTATTAACTTTAGATACACGAATGATTCTAACCAGCATCATTTGTTACAGAGGAAAGAAAATACTTATCTAATCTCAGTAATAGGTAAAAATCAAGAGTTAAATTTATAAATATTATTAAAAGAGTAAAGAAAAATGTGAGAGATCAAAGAAACCATTAACCAAATGTGAAAATATCATATTCAGTATTCACATTTTTTGAACAACATATCATGTAAATAAAATGAATGATTTATATAGCTTTCTATAAATATTTTATTTTTAGAAGGGATCACTTTATTATAATGCAATTCTTAATGAAAAAGGATACTTAAAAAGGTTTTCTTCTGGAGGGGTTGGGTACTCTATTTTCTGTTTCTATTTCTTTTTCTTTTGTAATGAATTGTAATCCCCTATTCCATGTAGTATCTAGACTGTTACACATACACACACACACACACACACACACACACACACACACACACACACACAGAGTACATGTTTAAGTCAAACATGGCTTCATGAATTATTACATGGACAATAAAGCCAAACATGTCAATTAATTAAGACAGACAAAAAAGACATGTGTTACATACTAGAATTAGTGAAATAATACCAGGAAAATATTCTGTATTTCAGATAGTTTCAGGTCAGTTTCACTTAGGATTATTTTTGTATACACAATAATTTGCTTAACTCTAGTGTAATACTCACTTTTCCAGAGAGCTGGAATCTCAAAGTGTGTTGCATGTGAGGCTCTTTAACAGGGTGACACTCAATATCCCAAAACTGGGCATAATCCCCTCTATCTCTGGGCAAAAATGTGATGGAGACCTACAAAATACACCCGGAGAAGACATGTAAACCTTGAACATTACTAAAGCTTAAAAGTCAAAAACTGAATATGAACCAGAAAAAGGAATGACTTCCTGTATCCACAAATTGGCAGAACTGAAATGATAAAAGTGGCTATATTCCCCAAAAGTACTCTACAGATTCAATGCTGTATCCTTGAAAATTCCAATGCATGGAATAGAAAAATTAGTCCTAAACCATCATTGCACTTACTGTCAATTCAGAACTTTAGTATGAAAACACTAATGGAACAATGTTTATGCATTAGCTAGTTGTCCCAATGACTATAATCCAGTGGACTTGGTACTATGCCAAATCCAAAATATACTTTTGTTTATATAGCTTTAGATAGCACATTCTTCAAAATGTATATAGTAAGTGATTCTTGGAGAAAAAAATTTTCGAAGTACTCTTAGAGCCCTCAAGCACAAGCCTGAATGCAGACACAATCCAGTCTTTCACCACTATGCTTGTGGTCCCCTCTGCTGGCCAGGCAGTGTAAAGGTGAAGTTTCAAGAAAATCTTTACATATTTGGTAAAGATTTACTATTTGCAGTACTTACTTGGTCCAGGATATAGTGATGATCACAACACAAATAAAAAAACCTAAGAGCCTTTCATTTCTATGCTAAATATTTAAAACAAGAAATTCTTAAAACACACTCTGATCTTTAATCTTTTTGGGGGGAGGGGAGAAGGGGGTGGTGGTCATGGGGCTTGACCTCAGGGCTTGGGTGTTGTCCCTCAGCTTTGTGTTCAAGGCTAGCACCCTTCCATTTTGAGCCACAGCTCCACTTCCAGTTTCAGGGTGGTTAACTGGAGATGACTCTCACAGACTTTTTTGCCCGGGCTGGCTTCAAACAGCCTCAGATCTCAGCCTCCTGAATAGCTAGGATTACAGGCATGAGGTACCAATGCTCAAGTTTGCCTTTTTTTTTTCTGGGACTTCAACCTGGACACTGTTCCTGAGCTTCCTTTTGCTCAAGGATAGTGTTCCACCAGTTGAGTTATAGTGCCACTTCCTGCAATTTTGGCACTATTATGATGTTCAGATATCTTAAGGATTCTTTTCTGCAGGATTAGTCAATACTTAGCCACAGGCTCAGCAGGGAGCTGGTCTTAGTTATGCCACATCCCAGAGGGCATGGTTTCTCTGCCTTAGTAATATGGAGCCATGTCCCAAGTAACCAGACATTACACTACCACTATAGGTTGCCAAAACAATTAACCCAAGGCAACCCTGAGTTGCTGATCCTAAACTGTTTTTGTGTTTTCTGTGGAAACTCCAATAAAGGGCATGGCCTAATAGCTCTGCCCTTGATCCCATCTTCTGCATTCTGACCCCTGTATGCTTTCTGCTGGAATCCTGCATGGCACATGCTAACCTATCTGGAACCCATGACTGTGACAAATTTTGTTGCCTTGTATCTCTCCTGTGTACTTATGTAGCTACACCTATTAACACAGAGTGCCACCCAATGTGCCCATTCGAGAGTAGTCAATGGCACTTTGTAAATTACATAACTGTGACCATGACCATATATGGTCTTTCATGACTGGTTTCTTTTGTCAGTTCTTTTAATTGCCACGTAATATTTTGCTGCAAAAAAATTAGGTTATTTTTATCTTTATAGGTGATTGTGAACAATAGTGCTATGAATATTTGTGCTATGAATGTGCACAAGTTTTTCCTTGAATACCTGTATCAATTTTTTAAAGCAAATATCTAGAAGTGGAAATGCTGGGTTATATGGTAGTTCTATCTTTAGTTTATTGAAAAATTTTCAAACTTTTTCACAATGGCTGTAGCATTACTATATTCTCATTAGAAACATGAAAGTCTTAGCTTCTCAACATCCTCAATATAGAGATTTTCTGCTTTTTTGTTCATTTTAAGTTATAGCTATCTTAACAGGTATGAAGTAATAGCTCATTTCTGGCTTGATTGTATTTTCTTTTTTGGTCGGTCGTGGGGCCTGAACTCTGGGCCTGGGCACTATCCCCCAGCTCTTCAGCTCAAAGCTAGTGCTCTACCACTTGAGCCACAGTACCACTTCCACCTTTTTCTGCTTATGTGGTGCTGAGGAATTGAACCCAGGACCTCATGCATGCAAGGCAAGCACTCTACCACTGAGCCACCTTCCCAGCCCCTTGATTGCATTTTCTAAAGACTAGTAATTCTAAGTTATTTTTGTTTTATGTTTTTGCAGTATGGTTGCATTTTCTAAAGACTAGTAATTCTAAGATATTTTTGTTTTATGTTTTTGCAGTATGGTGGAATAAACTGCATCATTCAAGCCTTAAGACATGCTAGCCATGCCTCTAGCTCTTTTATGTAATGGTTGACATTAAGACTTGCTTTTTTGCCCAGGGTTCTCCTACTTTATTTTATAATTCTTACCACAGCTCAGATGACATATATTCATTACCACGCCCAACTCCTTATATTGAGATGGAGTCTCACAAACTTTTTTGACTCCTCCGACCTTAGCCTTGTGAGTTGGTACAATGAGAGGCATGAACCACCATGCCTAGCTTTTTAAATTCTTGATGGCACCATTTGATGTAAAAATATTTGTATTTCTGTTAATTCACCTAATTTTTGATACCTTTATTGGTCCTAGCTCTACAAAATTAATAGATAAACCAAAGTTATTAAGACTTATTTTTCTGGGCTGGGTAGGTGGCTCAGTGGTAGAGCGCTTGCCTTGCATGCCTGAGGCCCTGGGTTCAATTCCTCAGCACCATATAAGCAAAAAGAAAAGAGCCGGAAGTGGCGCTGTGGCTCAAGTGGTAGAGCGCTAGCCTTGAGCTGAAGAGCTGAGGGACAGTGCCCAGGCCCAGAGTTCAGGTCCCACGACGGGGACACCCCCCCCAAAAAAAAGACTTATTTTTCTATATTTTCTAGAGGTTTTATATTTTTGCTTACATTTAGGGTCCCGTGTATTTCTTTCATTTTGGGTATCCAGTGTCCTGGTACCATTTGTTGAAGAGTATCATTTCTCCAATGACTTATCTTGGTATACTTTACGAGAACATCAAGTGATCATAAACATGAGGTCTGGGGATTCTCAATTCTATTCCTCTCAAGTATGCCTACTTTTATGGCAACACCACCCTGTTGTGACAGTACTCTGGCTCTGTAGGTTTTTAAAATGGGAAGGCTAAATCTTTCAATCTTATTCTTTTGCAAGATTGTTTTCATTCTTCTGAGTCCTATGTTCATATAAATTTTAAGATAAGCCTCAAAACAAAACAAATACAAATAGGAGTGTGGCATGACCAAGGGAAAGCAAAAGCAGGCCAGAAAGTATGTGATTATGATGTGAATATTTAGTCTCAGAAATGACAGGATTAAGGAAAAAGAATAAGGCCTAAAAGAAAGAAAAGATCTCAATAAGCTGAAGGAAAGAGCAGTCTCTAACATCCTGCTTATTCTCCCAAAATAATACATAACTGGGCCCATATTATTACATCCTGGATGCTACCAACTTTGTCAATTTTTCCATTAAAACCAGATTGGACTTAGTATAGTCAAAGAGGGACTGTCGATATGCCAAGTGTATCCCTTACATAACAAATTGTGTAATTGCTTAAACTGAGAAACTGGAGCAGAAGTATCAAAAAGCTCTAAGAATTGCCAAGGAGCCACAATTTGAATGATTACCATCTAACACAAAAGAACCTATGCAGATGACTGCTTAGTTACAGAGTAAATTGGTGCAAGTGGCTACAAATAAGTGTCACCTTAAATGAGGAACTGAGAAAATCCCTGGAATTCTTACCAAATACCTTCTAACCATACATATACCAAGTAAACGACAGATGAGTATAGACCTCCTCAGTTCTAATTCTTACAAGTCAAAGTCCCCCTGCCTTCCTTAGACAAGCTTTTTCTGCTACAGCTCATTGATGATGTCAGAGCATAAGTTATACTGTATTCACCCATATAACTGATTATAAGCTGTATGTAGTTATACCCTTTTTGATGTTGAAAAAAATTTCAAAATAGCTCAATGGGGTTTTAACAGGGATTAAATCTGTAGATCAATTCAGCAAGTACTGCTATTCTAACAATGGTAATTCATCTCCATTAACATGGGATATCTTTCCTTCTGGATTATTTTCTTTTTGCAATCCTTCTTCATATGTTGAGTTTTTTGGTTCTGTTTTTTTTTTTTTTAATAATGTGTCTGTTCCCTATTCTCCTGGATTGTTTCTGTTGTGATTTACAAAATAGAATAAACTATTTTTTAGAGAACTATGTGCTTTTCAAAACAAAAGTCAGAGACTTTCTAAGGCCTGTTACATAGACCTAATGAAGGACTAAGTTTCAGCAATTACTATAGAAGCCTCAAGAGTCTTTTGTGATCAATGATGAGTTCATAGCTCCATCCTAGAACTTACCAAAAGCCCTTATGAATAAATGGACCAATATTTTATAAGTATGGCACTTTAATTGAGTTTTAGCAATTAAAATGACAGAGTATATTAACAAGGCCAAATGGATGATGACTGCCACCAGGAGACTTCTGAAGGGATGATGTCAGGACTGGAAATAAACTAAGGTGTGAAAAGTTTCACAGCAGCTGAAGAATCTGCTGCCCATAAAGAAATACTGGTACCTATGTCATCAACATGAGTTGTTGCCTAGTGGTAGGTTTCTTTGGCTATGGCAGGCAGCCAAAGTCATCTGGATTAGAGAAGTATGCTGTAAGCACTGGCAGCTGCAATCTCCTTACCAAATACACTATCAGCTTACCTCTTTTTTCCTCATTGTAGTATAATATGTTGAACTTAGGAGGCTTCTTTCTCTGTAGGTAGACTGGCTATGAGACTAGCACTGGTTTAGGGATGATAAACTGAAGTGGCAGGGTCACATGAGGTACTCCTGGCTGAATAACATCATGTACTTACTAACTGGCTATGAAAAATCTAGCAAAGCTCACCTTCTGGATTCTATTGCTTTCCAGTGTACCAGAAATGGGAGAACATCTGAATGCTGTGTATGTTGCTCTAAAAACATCTCCGCTTTCATCAACTCCCTGTGAAGAAATCATTTAAATAGTCAAATAAAACCCATAGAAGTCAGTGGATTGGTTTCAGACACATCATTATTTTCATGTTTACCAAGGACACCCTGACATACTAAGCCTATTTAGCAGTGCACAAAGAGAGCACAATGCCCTCGCAAGAGAGTGTTCCTGGGCTGACCAATATTGTGCTGGCTCAGCGTGATGAGATCACATGTAACAGTGTTCATGACCAACTTCTTTGGCTGTAGTGAGCTCCATGTTACAGTACACAATATCAAATCACTGTCTTTTCCTCAGGGTTGATGCGGATGCTGCAAAACATGTACTTTAAAACCCACTGCAATGTCAGTTTTATTGTGATAGGTCTGCTATCTCTTGAACACCTTTTATTAGTGGTATGATTTAAAACTGTAACTGTCACAAAAAATATATGGCAGACATATTAGTGTTGTAAAGAACACAAATGACAGGCTGCTCATTTGGGGCAATACCACTGGCAGAGCCATGTAGAAGATAGTAGACTAAGGCTGCTAAGCAGAGTGTTCCACCCTACATACCAGAAACTATGGCTGGAACATGACAGCACTCAGAATATTAGGAGGAATCTGTGTGCACCCTCAGTGTTCAATAAAATAATAAAACCCTTATTACTTCTCAAAGTTATCTCAGTACAGAAAAATCAGGACTAAGATTAGGTAGAGCAAGAATATATGTTTTACACCAATTCTTGACTCTCAAAAACACCTAGTTAAAAGAAGACTCCATGTATTGTCTCCATCTATATAGAAAACCAAGTGAGTTTGGGAGACTGATAACTGACATCTGAACCTGTGTTTTCATAGACCACATAAACCTAAAAATTAAAATGAATGTATCTGACTGACCTTGACATATGGGGGAGCAAAAGATGACAGGTGCCACTTCACATCCACAGGACCATGATTCTCAAATTCCAGATAGTTCTCTGAAAAGAACACATGAACCATAACTGACACTCTAACAAGCCAGTGATAGCAGACCTTTGTGACAAGCCTTAGGACCTCACCAACAAGGGAGTGACCCTTGACAGAGTCCAATAGGAACTACAGGATTTTTAAAAAATTACATGTGTCCGATATCCAATTTTGAATTTTACTCAAAGCATAATGCAAAGACACATGTAATTGTAACCCCTCTGTACAGTAAAAAAGGACTGAAGTGAGGAATGAAAAGACAGCATTGTCATTTATTGACATAAGTCTGGAGGAGAAGCAGGTTTTGTTTTTTAGGGCTTATAGATTTGCTGCACCTGTGAGATACTAATATGCAGGAGCCAAGCAGACACTTGGGTAAGCTTCTAAGCATATGGCAGTCATCAGCATCACAACTGACAAGTAATCCCCAGGGACAAGAAAGAGAGGAATACAGGTGGACCAGCCCAGATGTGCCAAACTCCATTAGTTGGTGAACAAGAGTCAGCAAAGAAATCTTATAAGGAGCAAGTAAAGCTGAAAAACACAGGACATCAGTACAGAAGCTGTGAGGTCAGTAGTGTGAAAGGATTAGATAAACAAAGACATCTAAGAAGGACCTGGGTGTGAACAGGTTTAAGGTACAGTGGATAATGGCAGCACAACAGACTCAGAAAGGAAGAACTCTTCCACTACAAGTCATACTGAGAAAAGAGACAGCTGCAGGAAGAGAAATCAGGGCCAAGAAAGGTGTCTTTCAGACTGACGCTAGTATGCACCGTAGATAAAGGTAAATATACAAAAAATGAGAAACTTATGGCCCAGGAAAGAAGGAGTCCTTGAGAAGGCAAGAAAAGATGGGCCTAGATTCCAAGCAGAGAGCTGCATCTGTGACAGAAACAGAAACCTTCAGTTTAGTCTAATGGCTTTTCTATTTTCCATGTGTGAGGCAAAATTTAGAATTGTAAAAAATGGGAGAGGGAGCAGGGAATGAGGGGTAGAGGGAAGTATAGAAGCTCTGAGGGAATAGAGACACAGGCTACTGGTGTAGACACACACTGTGGAAGATAGAAGAGAAGAGGTATCTGAGAATTGTGACGATGAATCCATCAGCAAAGGCTGTACGGCTTTGTCTAGTATCACTCTGCTACTGGAATAGGAGCATAGAGTAGCCATTCAGCTAGGTTTCACCAGTATATAATGTAGATGGAAAAGTAGAGGCAATGATTATCATGGCAGACCACATGATTCAAGAGGTTTAAGAGGGACCTCAGCAAGGTAATAGAGATACTAAGATTTTAGGGCCTTAGACTTACCAAGAGGTTAGAGAACTGCTGCAATCCCTGGAATAAGTGAGCCAGGAAGGAAAGAGCTTAAAATGGACTAAGAGTAGAGTAAGTTCCTGGAGGTGATGGAAAGGTCCAGGAGAGATACACAGAAGACGGATGCTGAGGCTGAAGGAAAGACAAAATTACTTTGAGAAGGAAGAGGAACAGCTTAATGAGATAGCCCCTTAAGCCTTTCTAATAAAGCCTCTATACCACTACTCATTTAGTCAAAGTCATCCGAAAAAGGAAGAGATGGAAAAAGAAAAAAATATCACAAGATTTTTTTGAGAAGCATTAGCAATAGTGTCTTTGAGATGGCAAATATACTAATTACATATAACATTGAACAAATGATTTCACCTCCACGCCTTCTGTGGAAGGTGAAAGTTATAATAGTCATTTTATAAACAGGGACACTGAAGAGTCTATTTAGCCTCTCAGGAGCCTTAGAAGTCACTTAGTGACGGAAGCCAGGTCTACCCAATAGCCTGGGCTCTCCTTCTTCTAACTTGATAATTCCCATCAGACATCTGTTAAGATTTAGGGAAGGATAGTTCTGGCCATCAAATATAATCCAAAATACCACAAATACTGAGTAACTCAATGCCCAGTTAATGTCAATTTTAATCTTAGAATTTCCTTTTTTTTAATTTTGCTAATATTGGGGCTTGAACTCAGGGCCTGGGTGCTGTCCCAGAGCTTTTTTGCTAAAGGCCAGCACCCTATTACTTGAGCCACAGCTCCACTTCTGGCTTTCTGGTGGTTAATTGGAGATAAAGAGTCTCAGGGACTTTTTTGCCTGTGCTGGCTTCACACTGTATCTCAGCTAGGATTACAGGCATGAGCAACTGGCACCCAGCTATGTAATTCACATCTTAAGGCCGTGCTTTGAAATCAATGGGGGAGCACTTTACACATGTTATGAGCTGGGTTCAACCCTCAGCACTGCCAAGATACATTAATGTATTAAAAAACAGTAATAGGCTCTGTTGTGGGAGATAAGTATTAGTGGGAAGGTGTTAGACTAACAAGGAGAGTAAATGAAGATGAATAGGGTCAAAGTTTCTATGTATCAAAAAACTGATCAATTGATCAGTTCTTAGGATAGGGGTAGAAGAGAAAGGGAGATTGATAGAAGGGATGAAATTAAATAAATTACATACATGAATGGAAACATCAGAATGAAATCCATCTCTCATATAACTAATATATATTAATAGAAAAAAGTAAAGGAGGGAAGGTGGCTCAGTGGTAGAGTGCTTGCCTCGCATGCATGAGGCTCTGGGTTCAATTCCTCAGCACCACATAATAGAAAAAGCCAGAAGTGGCTCTGTGGTTCAAGTGGTAGAGCGCTAGCCTTGAGCTGAAGAGGTGAGGGACAGCGACCAGGCCCAGAGTTCAGGCTCTAAGACCACCACCACCACCAAAAAAAAAAAAAAAAAGGAAAGGAAAGGAGAAAAAGAAAAAAGGAAAGGAGCACATCTAGACTTAATATAGCAGATGTTTGACCCACATAATTTTGTGATACAATACCTGAAGTTTTACCAGATTCTGTTGTAGGAAAAGTAATCATCTTGTTTCTTATTTCAACTTTTGTGGAAGGTGGCTTTACTACTGGTTTTATCACATGACTAATGGGAGGTTCAGATGTGGTGGTAAGAATTCCTAATGTGCTAGAAGCCAAACGAGTCAAAAGTTCATCTTGAGTCAAATCTTCTTGAATTTGAACTTTCACGAATTTCTGAAATAAGCCAAATAAGGTGGTAAGACACTTTTTTTTTTTTTTTGGTTGTGAGGCTTGAACTCTGGGCCTGGGCACTGCTCCTCAGCTCTTCAGCTCAAGGCTTAGCACTCTACCACTTGAAACACAGTTACTTCTGGCTTTCTGGTGGTTTATGGAGATAAGAGTCTCACAGACTTTCCTGCCCAGGCTGGCTTTGAACCACAATCCTCAGATCTCAGCCTCCTGAGTAGCTAGGATACAGGCATGAGCCACCGACGCCCAGCTGTAAGACACAAATTTAACTATCATTTTGAAACAAAGATTTTTAATTTGAGGCAGAGAAAAAAAATCCAAAGAAATGAAGCACTGACAAGTTTAAAAATTAACGTTTATTGTAACTGTAACCCTCTGTATAGTATCTTTACAATAAAAAAAATTAAGGTTTATTAAAATAACAAAGACTGTGCCTTTTCTCTGCTTCCATATTCTTTATTTTCCCTTAAAGTAATTTTTTGAAAATTAGCAATGGCTTCTAGGCCCCACCCTATAGAAATGATACAGATAACTAAGGGAAAAGTTCTATACAAAATAGTCTGATGAAATATAGCTAGCTGGGCTTCATTTGACTTAGAAAGCATAATTGCTAATAAGGATTATGAAAATGAATGTAAAAAATAAAAGGAATATTTCTCAGCAAAGCATTGTACAGTACCTTCTGTCCATTGTCACAGTGAATATAGATCAAGCCACTCCATGGGAACATAGACTGTTTTGTGGATAAGGAAGAATTAGGACTCACAAGAATTTGTAGTTTACTCCTTAAAAAAAAAAAAGGTATAATAATAAAAACCAAAAACATCCAATTCTTTAACAGAAGTAACAATAAAGGTTACAACCACTGTTCTGTCAATGACCAAGTCTTCCCATGACTGAAAAACACCAGAGAACCAGGTTAGCTCCTATACTTCCCTATATATGGTTCATCTGACCTCAACCCTTGATTCAAGGGCCAACACAAACTTGTATGACAAGAATCCATGAGTACAAGGGCAAACCAAATCATAGAAATGCTATCTCAAAAGCAATTCAAAATAAAATTTCTGTAGCAAATGGATTGTACTACAAAACCTCTGAGCCACATAATAATAAGGGATAATACAGTTAAGGCACTAAGCTAATTAAGAGCTGGGTAGCAAACTGGAAGAAAAGTAGGGAAGGAGGTATTTTAAAGAGAGAGAAAGAGAAAGAAATCATGCTTTTTCATGCTCAAAATTCTCTTTAAGGAAAATGAGTTCCATAGAATTTAAATGTGGATAGTGAAATCAGAATTATAACTAACAAAAATCATCATTTACAAGTGGCAAAAATAGAAGGTCAAGATTATTCTCCATTGTTAATGGCTAAATATGTGGGACTATATAAGGCATTTATGAAACACCTGTTTTATTATCTCCCTATCCTTCTATCCATTAGTTGGTGATGGCTTACAGAATACTGAGTAGATTGCTTTGGTCTCAGTAAAGCCATCTCTGGGGTGTCATTGTCCATATTTTAACTCACACTTTAGCTCAGCCAACTTTCCAAAAATGCATATTCATCATTTTGCCAATGTAAAGAAATTCCAAGTTGTTCTTTTCAAAAACTGCTAATCCAAAATAGGATGCACCTTCCAGATGGGACAGCTGTGTGCTAACCACACATGAAGTCCTGGACAGCTGCAGAACTGTAGCTTTACCTCATCAATAATAAGGCTGTGTACAGAGGGAAACTGTGTAAACATCTGGCTCCAATGTATGCCTTTTCTCAGAACATCTATGTAGAAAACAGTAAGCTATCTTATGGCTCAAGTCAAGAAGTTCACTCTCAAAAGTGTCCTTCAGGAAAAAACAAAAGCAGGAGAATATAAATGCCAAATTGGGAGACAATCAGACCAGCTAAGGCTTTAGAGATTGTCATCCATTATCACACATCCTGCTTTTACTCCTTGTCTTTGTAGGCAAAGTGCTATGATAGAAAATATTTTCTTGTCTTCTATATCAGAGTCCCTATTCCACCTCAAACACTTTCCTCAACCACCTCAGGGCCCAGTCTACCTGGCTAGGTATGAGATCTATGCTTCACTAAAGGAATTAAGTCTTGAGCCCACTAATGTATAACAGAAGTAGGTATCCACTTGTATGGTCAGTACAGTACAAACCTCTACTGAAAAAAAATTATTTTGCAGTGTTTGGATATAACTCAGGGCCTTGCACATGCTTGGCAAGCCCTTCTATACTGAACTATATACTAAGACCCTGAACAAATTTAAATGAATATTATTTAATCCTTAAAGTTGCCATGATGTCATCTGAATAACACCCAGAACAACACTGAAGACACACTTACTCTGGTGCAATAAATCCGTGTTGTGGTGTGACTGTCAGGCAATGGGCTGGCCAATATAGTTCAAATTTCAGCAACCTGACAGAATTATTAACAATCTGGAAACGTCCAGTTTTTGTCATATCACCTATTGTAGCAAATAAATCGAATGTAACTTTCATTTAGCAACAGTGAAAAAAGACAAGTGTAAATAAAAATAAGTTTTAAATAAGTACACTAGTTACAATGGCTTACTTAGCAATTCTTAGCTACTCAATTATGGGAATTTCAAATCTGTTTAAAAAGGCATACTTGATAACTCCTGGAAACTACAAAGACCCTGAAAACCTTGAACAAAGAGAAAAATAGCAATCTCAAAATTGTTAGCTCCTGGTTTTAATTTTGGCACATGTGTATGTATTAGTTTTTTTGTTTGTTTTTTTGGTCAGTTGTGGGGCCTGAACTGTCAGCTCTTCAGCTCTTCCACTTGAGCCACAGCCCCACTTCTGGTTTTTTTCTGCTTATGTGGTACTCAGGAATCGAACCCAGGGCCTTATGCATGTAAGGCAAGCACTCTACCACTGAGCCACCCTTGTTCTGACTCTGAACCAACCTTATCAGGGTTAAGGTAATAACTATCAAGGTGGGGTGTGGCTCTGCTCTCAAGAAGCTGAGCTGAGTTGGATAGGGTTCCAGATGAGTTCTAATCAGGTCTCTATGGTGGAGTCTGTCCAATTATGTATGAGGACAGAACACAGACAACAACTCCTAAAGGCACATCTGATGACTTGCTGAAATACTCACAAGAAGAAGGAGCTACCAGAATTAAGTGTTCAGGTTGGATGGTCCACATCTCTTCAGAGGCTGCTGTATCTTGAGATGAGTGGGCAGCTTGTGAGAGAAAAGGAGACCCTTGAGGACCTTTAACTGGTAAAACATCCAAAGAGATATTGCCACCATGTTTATCAGAAGGTCTCAATTCACTAGAAAAAAATTATTCAAAAATTAAAAAAGCAAAGTCAAAAATGATGAAAAGCCAGACTCTTTCACATTTAATAGTGATTTTGTTTTATGTCGTGGGGCTTGAACTCTGGGCTTGGGCGCTGTTCCTGCACTCTTCAGCTCAAAGTGAGCACTCTATCGCTTGAGCTACAAGCGCCACTTCCAGTTTTGTGGTGGTTTATTAGAGATAAGAGTCTCACAGACTTTCCTGGCTGGGCTGGTTTTGAACCATAATCCTCAGATTTCAGCCTCCTGCAGAGCTAGTATTACAGGCATGAGCCACCAACGCCTGGCTAATATTAATTCTTTATAAAATAAAAACAATTAGATAAAACTAAAAGGGTATTACATGCCATATACTTTTGAGTCAGGAACAAAAAGTGAACAAACATAGCAGTGGTACTCATTAGACACTATGAAATGAACTATCCAACTTGAGAGTACTTATGGGAGGGAAAAACTGGGAGAGAGGGAGGGAGGGAGGAACACTGACCAAAAAGAAATGCATTCTTCACCTGACTTATGTAACTGAAACCCCTTTATAGTAATAATTAAAAAAATTAAAAATCCAGCTGACCACTGTGTCTCATGTCTATAATCCTACCTATCCAGAGGCTGAGATCTGAGGACTATAATTCAAAGCTAGCTCAGGGAGGAAAGTCATTGAGATTATTATCTCCAACTAGCCATCAAAAAGTGGAAAAACAGAGCTGTGGCTTAAGTGGTAGGAAACTAGCCTTAAGCAAAGAAGCTCACTCAGGGTCAGTGCCTAGACTACACCCTAAGTACAAGCCCCAGGACCAGAACCAAAAAAAAAAAAAAAATTCTCCTTATTTTTACTTATATACTTTTTTTTTTTGGGTCCAGTCATGGGGCCTGAACTCTGGGCCTGGGAGCTGCCCCTCAGCTCTTCAGCTCAAGGCTAGCACTCTACCACTTGAGCCACAGCACCACTTCCGGCTTTTTTCTTTTTGCTTATGTGGTGCTGAGGAATCGAACCCAAGGCCTCATGCATATAAGGCAAGTACTCTACCACTGAGCCACCTTCCCAGCCCACTTATATACTTTTTATATATGTTTTATTTATGTAGGCTAGAAGTATAACTCTGGAGCATTTATCTAATATGTTCAATGCTCTGAGTCTGACCCCAAACACTGCAAAGAAAATTAAATAGTGTACAAAAAACCCCAAATACAATGTAAATTACATAGTATACATAGTATGATATAAAAAAATCAGTGACTTCCATTATTTTTCTGCCTGATTCTGCATCTGAATCTATTAAAAGAGAATCATGGCTCAAAGCCAGCCTAGACAGAAAAGTCCATGAGACACCATCTCTTAAAATAACCAGCAAAAGCTGGGCTGAGGACATTGTTCAAGAAGTAACATTAGCAAGCTGAGCAAATGAGAGACCAAGATCAAACCTGAGTACCAGTACCAAAAGAAGATTTACTAGAAAATGACCAATATCAAAAATGTGAGAAAATTCAAATTCTTAACATAATAGAACTACACAATGGCAACTTTTTTTTATGACAATGAATGACACTAAGAACCTAAAACAGAAAAGTCTTCTAATAGGAAGAAATGCTAATCCAGTCTACCAGGCTATTATTACAGGGTTTGTTTAGCTGTAATTCAGATGAATTTTGTAATCACTAGTGCTTCAAAATTGGTGATTTTTTAATAAAATAAATATTATAAAATAAAATGTTATTACAAAATCATCAATTTTGTAAAACCAATGCTCTCTCATCCTCGGTTTTCAAATTATACTTCTACTGTCCCAGAAAAACAAGGGAGAACTATCTGGAAAAAAAAATCACCAGATTAAAAAGGGATAGGAGGTATGACTCAAGTAATACAGTGCCTGCCTATTAAGTATGAAAACCTGAGTTCAAACCCAAGTACTATTTTTAAAAACCTCATATATTTATATAATCAGTCATAGACAAGTTAGCATTATATACCACCTGGGAATATACTTTGGAAAAACAAATGGCATTAATATTTTTTAATTGTAAATGTGATCTATAGAAGGGTTATAGTTACTACATATGTCAGTCATTGAGTACATTTCTTTTTGAATAGTGTCACCTCTTCCATTTTCCCCTCCCCAACAAGTTGTATAGTTCATTTTCAACATAGTGTCTAGTGAATATCACTGCTGAAACACTTCTTTTGTGTTTCTCAAACTCATCTGTTAACTAACTGACTCAGTTAGTCAACTGTTAACTAACTCACTAGTAAGAAAAAGGTCATCTTTATTCTTATTACACCTATTTTCTCAGAGAATACTGAAGAAAAAAAGAAAGATGACTTTAACAAAGTTAGTAATCTTGGAGAAAACAGATCTCTCAGTAAACACTCTAATGTCCTTATGTATATAGAATTTGCTTTTAATAGGATGTATTTATTTGATTTATCCAAAATTGTATGTGGAATAAAACTGAATTTGATGTGTATATGGGGAACAGCTCTTTGAAGAATTACATGGTTATGTCATCAAAGAACAAAACACAACTCCCATACTCAGCTGCCCCTTTTTGTAAGCCATGTATATTACCAGTAAAGAACTGGTATTAAGTTTGAACCAGAGTATGAGCATTTAATTTTATAACAAGTACCCACAAGTGCAGTGGCATTCCCAGCCTCTCCAGGCTTCACCTAAAGTCATTATAGAAGCTTAGTTCTCTGAAGATCTGATTTGATCATCTAAACCTCCATTATCACAATGTTGAAAGGTAAAGAAAGGATAAAGGAACTACTCTATACTAAAAGCAAGTAAAAAAAAGACAGACCATCTAAATGCAATATGTGATCTGAGATTATGGACCAGAGCAGAAGAGGGTTTTGTTCTGTGGGTTTAACTATGGAGGACATTATTGTACATGTTTAATAGAAATCTATGGAATAAGTGATACTACTAAATAAATATTAAATATTCTAATGGGGTGGATTTACCATAGAAAATATTTTTAAGACAATTTAGGGCTTATAAGTGATCAAGCTGCAACTTACTCTTGAATGGGCCAGAAAAAAGATTTAAACAAGTTAGAGATATAAAGAATGATAAGGTAAATGTGAAAAATGTTTAATAATTGGGAAATCAGAGAACAGTGCTTATAGGAATTCTCTGTATTATTTTAAACTTCCCTCAGAGTTTGAAATGATTTCAACTTAAACTAAAATATAAAGGGAAAATAAACATTTTGATAGAAAACATAGGACAGCAAAAAAAAGATCTACTATAGTTAAATAATCTTGAAATCTGGTAAAGGAATTTTGCTAGTATATTTGTTTTACCTTTTAGATTCCAAGCTAGCTTTGGGAGAAGGCTGAAGAAGTTCTCTGTTAGGACCAGAATCTCTGAATTCTCCAATTACTGAAAGCATAATTTTACGCATGTTTCCATAAAATAGCTGAATATCGTTAGGCCGTTGGGGAAGATCATGTACTAGAAAAGAAAACGTTTTGAAGCATATGAACCTTCACATTAAGCACAATGCAAAATAACAGAAAAAAATTTACATATTAATGTAATTTTCTTAGGTTGGGGTAGGTGGTGTTTTGATTAACGCTACTGAGAGGCACAAAATGATAGGCAACCCAGCATTAGGACAGCACAGGCTCTGAACCTAAATGTGAAATTCACTTGTCACTCATTTGTTCTGTGACCTCTGGCAAATTACTTATTTACTCTGAGCTTTAGTTTCCTTGACTAGAATCTGGCATAACAGCTCTCTATCTCAGGAAAACTGTGAGCCTTATTAAAGAATGTTTTTGAAGATATGAATAGTAGCAGACATTTACATAAAACTTACAAAGGGCCAGTTACTGCTCTACTATCTTAATATTAAGGTATGAAGGTATATCTTAATATTAAGGTATTATAATTTCCTGTTAAAAATCTAAAGCACAAGGAGGTTGAAAACACACATTATGTAAATTAAAGTCTCAAAGATATGTAATACATCACCACAATATATCCTATATCTTGAATTCAGGGACACACCAAGTTTGAACTCACCTGCACTTCAGATGGGTGATACTGGCAAGTTGCATGAATTCTTGGTTGGGTTTATCAAACAACCTGTATTATAACTTATTTCTTGACTTTCATGGACACAGCTCTCTCTACCTGGAACATCTCTACCTTGTCAACCCCTCTTTGTTCAAGTCTTCTTAGAGAGACACCTCATCCTCAGTGAGGGGCAGGCCCTTTCTTTGTGCTTCTCTCATTCCCAAATATACTCCAGCACAGCACTGTTTACCACCCTTCAATGATCAGATGTCTACATCTGTCAGTCTCTGTGTCCACAAGTGACTAGCACCATGTGTACTCTATATGTATTTATTCACTCAGGGAAGGAGATGTTACTGTATCATGGAACTATGCCAACTTCTGAACCACCAGTCTAGCTATGTGTTTCCACTTAAGGTCTTCATAGCTGCAATATGATTAAGTATCAATGCTTCATCTTCACAGCAGTTTTCAATTTAGCTACTATCTATATCCTTCCTATAAAGAGATAAGGGACTAAAGTGGCAGAGATGAGGTTTTTTTTGTCAGTTGTGGGGCTTGAACTCTGGGCCTGGGTGCAATCCCTCAGCTCTTCAGCTCAAGGTGAGTGCTCTATCACTTGAGCTACAGTGCCACTTTGGTTTTCTGAGTGGTTTAGTGGAGATGAGTCTCACGTATTTTCCTGCCAGGGATGGCTTTCAACCGAGATCCTTAGATCTCAGCCTCCTGAGTAGCTAGGATTACAGGCGAGAGCCACCGATGCCCAGCCTTAGAGATGAGTCTTGAGTGTGCTTTATTCCCTTAGCACACTGATGACATGACCACATCCAATCTTTTATTAATGATTTTCAACTAACCTATGCCTAGAGAAGAGCTAGCAGACTAATCTACAACATCCCTACAAAGATATAACTATGCTTTACTTTCATCATCAATTTTTCAGGACAAAAGAACATTACATCATTTAAAAACTAAAACTAAAAAAAAAAGAAAGAAAGAAAGAAAAAAAGAAAAAAACAAAACTAAAACTAACAAGGAAAAAACAATCACCTGAAATTTGACCACCAAAACATTGAATTTTTTTTTTGGTATTTATGTATATTCACACATTAAGTTATTTTTATTAAAATGAGATCTTACTATGTAAAAATTTAAAAGCTGTTTTTTTCTTAATAAATTTTCCTATGCCACTTAGTATAGAATTATATTGTTTTCATAGCTTCAAAACATTCTGCGTAATTAAACTGCCATCTATTCTTGGGCATTTTGGTCACCTCTTAATTTTAACTACTACTGTACAAACTATGGTATAAGCTATTTATGTATGTATATGTATAATCTATGTAAATAATATGTAAATCTATGTAAATAACCTCTGTAAATAATACTTATATGTATATGCATAATCTATGGTAAAAAATGTGTACATATATTTTTACACCATTTTTCTGTCTTGTTACATTTATACTGTATGAATAATAAGACACTATTAAATATTTGAACTGCTGTGCTCAAATAGGACAAAACATCTAGGTTATAGTCATCTTACATGTCTTTTGTGGAGTTCCTTCTTCATTCATATCCTCCATAATTTTACAGTGGCACTGAAATCTCAAAATGAAAGTGAGAATGATCACTATTTACCTCATGCTCATTCTCTGCTTATATACTGCCTACACACAGAATCTATATGAAATATTACTAACACCAAAAATATAAAGTGAAGCTCCTCTGATTCTCAAGACAATTCTGCATGAATGAGAAGCTTGCTCTCACTCTTCTCATTCTACAAAGAAGAAATTGATCTAATTTGAATAAACTACAGTGATGTAATTTATTTAAAGTCACAGAGCAAAGCTGTGGCTCAAAATCAGCCAGATACCAGATCCAAATTAGCATTTCTTCCCTTCTGTCACATGATGACCAGACAACACTACAAGTGACCAAAACATTGAAGACAAGCTGAAATTCTTACCTTCCTCTATCAGTATTTCATCCTGAAATGCTTCAACAAAATTAATGTTTTGCAATACACTATGCTCTGGAAGTATCTGCTTTATAATTCCAGGTTTCTGCAGCAAGGCTCTGCCAGAGAGATTTTTATGAAAAAAGTGATTTATATATAAATGACCTCAATTAGATATTTATTAATTCATTTGGCAAATCTCACTAATGACAGGTTACATGTGTATAAACATCTCATGCCTTAGTCCTAATAGTGCTTTTAAAATAGAAAACCTGTTTTGGAGGTTGAGTTGAAAATTGCACATGATTGTGCAATAGTCACTTTCAGTTAAATTAAAATCAGGGACTAAGAACAGACAGAAAACTAAAGTTAGATTGTTTTAAGGTGTTACATTTCATTATCTTTGATAACTTTGATCAGTCAGAAATTTGCGTTGGGGAAGGGAATTATAAGACACCAAGAAAAATATGTAAATTACCATATAACTTTGTCTATTTGGCCTCTTGCAGAGAATCTTTGAAAAGAAATATAAACTTATCTACTATATTCACGTATTCATAACAAAAGGAATCTCATTACTATAAGTTTATGGAAAACAGCTGTGAAACATATCTCTATCTCCCAGTAAAACAAAAGGGGAAAAAAAGTTTGTGTTTTTAAAATAATTAAGAAACAAATATAGGGGCTGGGAAGGTGGCTCAGTAGTAGAGCACTTGCCTTGCATTCATGAGGCCCTGGGTTCGATTCCTCAGCACCACATAAGCAAAAAGAAAAAAGCCGGAAGTGGCGCTATGGCTCAAGTGGTAGAGCGCTAGCCTTGAGCTGAAGAGCTGAGGGACAGCACCCAGGCCCAGAGTTCAGGCCCCACAACTGGACCCCCCCCAAAAAAGAAAGAAACAAACAAATACAACAGGTTAGCTCTTCACAGCTGGCTATTATAATATCATATAGCAAGTCAGCCTTAATCTCTCTTTTACTATTCCAATGTGACCAACCAATTAAAACCAAACAATCATCAAGTACAATGACTGACATCAGTAATCCCAGCTCCTTGGGAAGTGAAAATCAGAAGAATCAATGTTTAAAGCCAGACCAATCCAGGTGCCGGTGGCTCACTCCTGAAATCCTAGCTACTCAGGAGGCTGAGTTCTGAGGATCACAGTTCAAAGCCAGCCCGAGCAGGAAAGTCTGTGAGACTCTTATCTCCAATTAACCACCAGAAATCCCAAAGCAGCACTGTGGCTCAAGTAGTAGAGCGCTCACCTTGAGCTGAAGAGCACAGAGTTCAAGCCCCATGACTGACCGGGGGGGGGGGGGGGGGGGGAAGCAGAGCAGGCAAAAAAATTAGTGAGACAAACCCTACAGCTGAGCGTGATAATGATCACCTCACCTGTGTTTCCAACAAACCAAAATGCAAAAATAGGAAGATAATGGTCTAGGCATAAAGATGAGACTCTATCTACAAAGTAAAAAGCAAAAAGGGTGGGCACTGCTTAAGTAATTACTTAAGCAAAAACTTATTACTGGGCTGGGAAGATGGCTCAGTGGTAGAGTACTTGCCTTGCATGCATGAGGCCCTGGGTTCGATTCCTCAGCACCACAGAAGCAAAAAGAAAAAAGCCGGAAATGGCGCTGTGGCTCAAGAGGTAGAGCGCTAGCCTTGAGCTGAAAAGCTGAGGGAAAGCGCCCAGGCCCAGAGTTCAGGCCCCACGACTGGACCCAAAAAACAAAAAACAACAACAAAAAAAACTTATTACTTACTTTTTATTAGAGTGCCTGACTAGCAAGTTCAAGGCCCAAAAAATATAAAAAAAATCTAGGTTCTATATCAGAATAAAAGACAGGAGAGCATAAAGAGCTGGAAGAAGGAAAGACAACCTATTATATTCACCCAAATCTACTAAAGTTAGTGATTTTCTACTAATAGATAAAACATCATGAGCTTTACCCATTTTATATTAAGCTTAATAATAAAAGAATCCAGAATTTAGTAACAATGGAACATGTTTAAATAATACCTGAAGCCAGATCAGTATCTTACATTTGTCAACATTCTGGTATATGAAACTATATTTAAACTAGCTATATTAAATTTTATAAATGATAACCTATACATTTCTAAAATACAGTGGGCATTTCAAATAATTCAGATTTCTAATAATCTGAATAATAATAATCTTTCAGTAGTTGTGAAATTCTTTTCTGAAACTGATCTATTGCTGGATATATTCTCAAGAGTACATTAAGAATACTGTTCTATTATAAGGTATGATGTTCCTACTAGATAAAGGAAAAGAGGCATGGTACATACATTAAGATTAAGAAGCACAAGGCAAAAATAAATATATAGATGTTTGCTACAGGTATTTACAACCTATATTATGCCAATTTATCAACCATACAAATTTTACCAAGTTTTTTTTTCCAATTTGTCAATTCACTAATAAACAATGAACATGTATGTTCTAAAACTATCATGTCCTAAAGCATCTATTAAGCATTCCTTGCATCCATTGGTTAGCTCCCAACATTGTTCAAGGTAAGTAATCTACCTTCGATACTGCTGTCTGGAAATTTCATCACCACCAAAGAAGTATATAGTCGACAGTTCTGTCGCAGTGTTATTATCACTCTTTCTGTCAGATGGATTATATATTAAAGTAACATCCTGATATAAAAAAAGGAGTATATTAAGTATTTTTCCTGAGTATGAAAAATATAATTCTAGATGATATTTTTAAAATCTCACTCTAGTATCTTCTAGGCCTAACCATTCAATAGACAGTGCATATGTATCATATTTCCAAGACTAGATAAGCACTTATACTCCCTCATTACTTCAAATATTATTTTCATTTTTGCCATAAAATGTCTAATTTTTATTAGCATATATTTGTGACATTTCTACACATTTTATACAATGTGTCCGATCAATCTCATCTACTCTAGCATTTTCTTGTTCTTTCCCCCTTCCTAAAACAATTTCAACAGGATTTAATGTTCTATTTTCATACATGCAAACAATATACTTCAATCATTTGACCATATTCATCCTCATTAACCCTACTTTGCCAGCCCAACCTCTCCCTCTAATATCCTCCCCAAAAAAACCTGTTTCTCTACCATCCCTCTAACTCTCTATTAATCAAAGCTATCATCAGGTTCTTTTTTCATATTTATTTGCCATATATTTCAAAATTACCTATTCTTTTTCCCTGCCCTCTACCCCTCCTCTTCCTAATAAATCCCTTAAACTCATATTCTATGTATGTATAAATATATATAAGCATATATATCTTAAATATATAAACACATATTTAAGATACATAATTATTCATCTAAGTGAGTTATTTCAAAGCAGAAAACTTTATACTTACTTCTCGTGTCCTTTCCTTGAGTATAAAGTTATCTGGAATAATCCTTATTACTTTAGGATCCAGCAAAATTTTTTTCTGAGAATCCTTAAAGCCTACTGCTTTAACAAAAGCTGCTCGAGAGCCAGTGTTTCGGACAGAAAAAACAATTTTACTTTCTTTGCCAGGAATTAAGTCATTCACTGTCACCATGTAACTGTCAGATAATTTTTTAACACCTTCCAAAATAAGATTACTTGTTCCTCCATATCCAGACAAAGGTATCTAAAAGAATATATAATCCCAAATTATTTTAGGTAAGAGAGCAGAATATTTAATTACAGTTAGAAGAAAATATAGAAAGATTTAATACAATTAAAGTTTTTAGTATTCATGTAATTAGTCTAGTAAGTGACTCTACTTCCAGTGTAATGTTATATAAAGACTTTAATCTTCAGAGAAAAACAAATCAAAGCACTGCAAACATTGTTTAATCTTTAATGTCAAGAATAATTATTTCCTTGTATAAATTCAAGGTGACAGAGGAAAATAAGCTCAAGGTACTGGGCTTGATTCCCAGAACCACTAAAAAACAAAAACAAGAAATTAGTGTAACTATGCCTGCTTCAGAACTTTTTACAGTGAAACATACTGGCATTTGTAATTTATTCTGAAATGACCAAAGAAAAATGGCCAATGGCTCACACCTGTAATCCTAGCTACTCAGGAGGCTGAGATCTGAGGATCACGGTTCAAAGCCAGCCCAGGCAGGAAAGTCCATGAGACTCTCATCTCCAATAAAACACTAGAAAACCGGAAGTGGCGCTGTGGCTCAAGCCGTAGAGTGCTCGCCTTGAGCTAAAGAGTGCAGGGACAGTGCCCAAGCCCAGAGTTCAAGCACCATAACCGACAAAAAAAAAAAAAAGAAAAATAGATGAAATTAATGGATGTAAATATGTGGTAAAAGAAATATAGCAAAATATGAACTGTAAGGATCTGTGGTAAAACATGTGACTACTAACTACATTGTTCTTCCAACTCAGTAATTCTGAAATGTTTCATTAAAATATGTCTTAGAGGGAGAATCATTTGGTACAATCAGTGTCAAAGAGAAGCATGCAAAAGGAACTAAGGACAAGTACTTAAAAACTCTCCAAAGACAGTGACTGGTAATGTGGAAGCAACAGACTGGAGCCAGGTTTAAAAGGAGACTGTTGCTGCTTCCACAGGGCACAAGTCCAAGAAACGAGGATTTACAGATACCTTCCATTAGCCAGAACATAAGGGAATAAAATAACCCCCATATTCTTCAAAATGACACTGTTATAATTAAGGATAAAAACTTAACAATGTGCATTTCTTTCCTGGGAAACTTTTGCAAACATGGAATAATCTACAATGACTTTTTATTATCTAATATAAGGCAAATGTTATGTAAATGATATTGTACTCCATGTTCTAGGAAATAATACAAAGAAAAAGTCTGAGCCGGGCATCAATGGCTCACACCTGTAATCCTAGCTACTCAGGAGGCTGAGATCTGAGGATCATAGTTCAAAGCCAGCCGGAGCAGGAAAGTCTGTGAGACTCTTATCTCCTATAAACCACCAGAAAACCAGAAGTGGCACTGTGGCTTCAGTGGTAGAGCTGAAGAACTGAAGGACAGCACCCAGGTCCAGAGTTCAAGCCCCATGACAAAGAAAAAAAGAAAGAAAGAAAGAAAGGAAGGAAGGAAGGGAGGAAGGAAGGAAGGAAGGAAAGGAAGGAAGAAAGAAAAAGAGAGAAAAAGAGAAAGAAAGAAAGAAAAAGAAAGAAAATAGGTTTGTTCATTAAAGGAAGTTTGTTCATTACAGACAATTTTTTTTCCCAAACACTTTAGATTAGTGGTTAGTTGACTGCAGATGTGGAACCTGCAGATGTGAGACCAACTATATTTTCAAAGCCTAAATGTCACAAATGACTGAGTGGAAAGGTTTGAAAAAAATGATTGAGAAATCCAACTAATGTCAATAAACCCATAGATTAACCAAGTAAACCTATTGCTATAGAGAAAGGTTTTCATAACCTCAATACTATTGAAATTTAGAGATGGTGAGAGCTGCCCTGTTTACCAAAGTATTGTTTAGCAGCATCTGTGGCAGATGCTATTGGCACCCTTGTACCAATTAAGACAACCAAAAATGTCTCCAGACATTGCCAATTGTTCCCTGAGGGTAATAAAGCACCTGGTTGAGGATCACTGCTCTAGAGAACTACAAAACAGAGCTGTTCTTAGTAGTCAAAAGACTGCATAATAGATCAACATGGGCTTGCAAGTCAGATGGCCTAAATTTGAATATGGCCTCTATCATTTAGCAGACAAGAGGCACAATCATGGTCATACATTTCTCAAAGTCTTGATTTCACCATAAGTAGAATGTAGAGAACAATATTATCTCAGATGATTTTGAAAATAAAATGTGATAATCCACATACAGGTGAAGGACAGGGCCTAGCATGTACTCAATTTTCAATAAGTAGTATATTTTTATTGGGAAATTGGACAGCAAGTAGCTGCATGTCACACATAAGGGAATTTGTCAGATAACTGCAATGAAGTAACTACAATAGTCACAGTAAGTGTAAGTGTCAGAGACATGGTCTGTGTCAGTGTGTACAGCATTCAGGAGGCTAAGACAAGGAGGATCATGAGTTCAAGGTCAGTTAGAGAGTTACATAGCCAATCGGTCAAAACAGTAAAAAAAAAAAAAAAAAGTAAAAGAGCCATAATAGCATAATTATCACAGGCGATCCCTACTGAGCCAACCTCTATGAGAAGATGCTGTGGAAATCTTAGGCAGAAATCTCACCAGGATCTTGGTTTTAAAAGACATCAAACAAGAACCTCAGCTTGGAGGCTATCAAATCAAGTAGTCGTACCAAAAATCACCAGCTGAAGAGATAAAGAAGCAACTCCACCAATCCATCAACACCTGGCCAAGCAACCATAAACTGAATCAACTGAAACTGCTAAAATAAATAATTCTGCCTCTTAAATTGCTTATATCTGGTGTTTTGTTTATAGTGATGAAAAGCTAACAGAAAAATGGTTTCAGAAGTAGAATCACTACAATAACTAAACTTGACTATGTGACTCTAACTTTCAGAACTGATTTGAGGGAGGAATTTAGAAACACTTAGAATATAGGCTAAAGAAGCAATAGAAAGCTAAGCAGAGTTTAATGGGTAGTTCTAGTAGAATCTCAGAAGACCTCAGTGTCTATAGGAATGTGAACAGTGAAAGCCATACTCAGGAGGTTTCTGATAAGAAGTGTACTAGAGACCACATGTGGTACAGTCTAGCAAAGAACTTGTCTACATTTTATCTGTGCCCTGAGATTTTGAATAAGGCTGTTTAATCTGTTGAAAGAAATTTCAAGATAATAGCACTCAGGTTGTTCATGGTTATTGCTGACTGCTTTTTAGTGAGGTATACAGTGAGGATCAGAAGCAAAAAGCACAGTGGGATTTGAACATGAATTTGGATAAAAAAAGAAGAGCTGACTACTTTCTGCTTCCTGCAGGACATGAGATGAAGAAGCTTCTTTGCCACATACTCCTGCTGCCATGATGTTCTGCCCAACTGCACAACACGAATCACCTATGGACTGAACCCTCTGAAACCAAAAATCAATAATCCTTCCCCTTCAAGTGTTTTTCCAGTTCACATCACCCATATGTATTAGTGCTTCCGTTTCCTCACATACAAAAATAGCAGTTTTTAAAAGAACTCTTATCAAACAATTACGCTTACCATGGACAAGTCAACAGGCTCCACAGACTCTAGTGTCAAATAAAGCTTTCTTCTAAATTATTATCTTGTAATTTATCATTCTCCAATTTGACAAAAGGAAATGAGACTAACATTTCAGTCCCACATCCACCACCAGGTGGATACATTTTAAAGATGTGTACTTTTGTGTAGAGTTTTTTCATTTGACTATCCAGCCCTTATTTTCCTCCTTAAATGATTTCTTTTTTTTTTTTGGTTGGTCGTGGGGCTTGAACTCTGGGCCTGAGTGTTGTCCCTCAGCTCTTCAGCTCAAGGCTAGCACTCTACCACTTGAGCGACAGCGCCACTTCCAATTTTTCTGGTAGTTTATTGAAGATAAGAGTTTCACAGACTTTCCTGCCAGGGCTGGCTTTGAACTGTGATCCTCAGATCTCAGCCGCCTGAGTAGCTAGGATTACAGGCGAGAGCCACTGGCACCCGGTGACTTTTCTATCTCTAGTTGCTCTGAATGTTTTCTATGCAAACTGTCTTCAATGTTTAAAAAATTATATTGAAAATAAACAATATAAAAATTTTTGTCTTTGTAGCTCTAATACCCAGAACATGCTAGCAAGTTCGTTTCCTTCTTTCCTTCCATCATTCCTTCCACTTTCTCTCTCTCTCTGTCTCTCTTTTCCCTGTTCCTACTTCCATTGCTTCTTCCCTCACTCCTTTTTTCTTTTGTAGCAGTACAGGGGCTTGAACTCAGTGACTACATACTGTCCCTGTGCTCACTGGCTAAAGACCAGAACTCTACCACTTGAGCTATAGCATTACTTCTGGATTTTTGGTAGTTAACTGGAGATAAGAGTCTCATGGGCTTTCCTGCCATGGCTGGCTTTGATACTTGATCTTCAGGTCTCAGCTTCCTGAATAGCTAGAATTATAGGTGTGAGCCATGGTGCCAGGCCCTTTCTTTCTTTCTTTTTGGAAGTACTGGGGTTTGAATGCAGGACCTTGCACTTGCTAGCCAGGTGCCCTGCTACTTGAGCCACTCTATAAACCCCAAAGTTGAGTAAATTCTAAAAATAAGTAACTGTTATGGTCTGAATGTTGGTATCTGCCAAAATTCATATACTGAGTCAATACTTAATATTAATGTTTCAAAAGACAGGGCCTTTTAGGAAGTGTCTTAAATCCCAAGATGCTCCCATGCTCATGAATAAGATTAGTATACTTATAAACCAGGATAAAGGAGTATACTAATCCTTCTACCATGCAAAGACATAGCAAGATGGCCTTCTCTTTGAAGCAGAGAGTAACTCTCATCAGACGCTGTATCTGCTGGCACCTTAATCCTAAATTTTTCCACAGTGATATGTGATGATTGCAGACCACATGTACTAGGATACTATTTTTTCTAAGTTGAAAAGGTAAACTTTACTTGGAATATCAATTTCTTAAAGAGCTCTAACCAGATTTACTCAAAGATGTGTTCATGAAAAGTTTGGATGCACTTCAAGTTTTTCAAAATAAAATGAAAATTTTAAAACATTACAAGAAATTTGTGATTATAAGAATATTACAATATTGCTTTTAGAATTTGACAACTGTTCCTAAACTTGTTTGTAAATCTAAAACTAATAAAAAGTAGCACATTAAAGCAATGGTTAGACTCTACAGGAAGAAAAAAGCAATAAAATTATCCTACCATGAACTTAATGCCCGGTTGTGATCGATTTCCAAGTTGTTTGATTTCTAGTTTGGCCAACATACAAGATAATCGAGTAGGTGTAAATAATACAGAGACTATAATGTCTTCTTTGGGGTGTATTCTGATCTCACAAGAACTGGTCAACCGCTCTTCTGAGCCGAAAGTATTCTGAAACTATAATTTAAAAACCATCACTGAATAAAATGAAACAATAGGACAAATAAAATACACAAATCTTAAAGACAATTTGGTCAGTCTGAGGATGTAGCTCAGTGGTAAAGCACTTGCACAGGCTTTGTGTTCGATTCCCAACATCACAAGATAAAAAAAAAATTGAGAGTATATGTGAAACTCACATAAAACTTTGGCTAGAAACCAAATGATAGGTACAGGCCTATGATTGTAAGGCATGTAGAATGTGGAGGCCGAAGGATCATGGGTTCCCAGCCAGTCTGGGCTATAAGTGAGAGATCCTGTCTCAAAAAAAAATTTTAATTCAACAAAACAAACTTAAAAAAAAAAACAACCCAATACTATAAAAACAACAGTGGACACAACAAAATACTGCACTCTACAAACCTGAAAGCAATCTTGATCTTGTCCTCTAATGAGCAGTCGCAAGTGCTGGGTTGTAGATGTAGAATTGCTTCTTAAAGCTAGTTTCTGAAGCCTAAACACAATGATACATTTTAAATGAATATTGCTACCTAGATAAAGACTAAGACAATTAAAACTAACCACAATGTCTAGAGATGGGCTGATTGCATATTTCATCTTAGCAGGCTAGAATGTCTCCATAGTCTTAAAACTCTAGTTTCTAAAACTATAAGGTTTAAGGCTTACTACTTATCAGAGAAGGCTTTGGTTTTACTCAGTTGCCTCATTCTTTATAATATGTATGTATAAATGTATACATTTGTATAAATGTGTATGTATGTGTATAAATTATACACATACATATATATAAATATTATATACATATATATGTATATATACATTAGAGTATACATAACTGTATACCTGTACATGCATACATTATACAACATATATGTGCATGTATATGTATAATATATATATTACCTGGCTTATAAAATATCAACCAATGAAAATCACTGAAAAAATTAAGTCAATATTATATACCTAACTGGAATATCAGGCTCAACCTAGGTTTCAGGAAAACAAGATGTCCTAGCTAAGGGGCTCATTAGTACAAAGTAGGCTTTTAAGCGATAGGCTGAATTAATTCTCATTTAAAAACATTTTGTTGCATATAGCTGGCTAGTAATATTCTTGAAACTGTATCTTCATTCAATACAAAATATGTGAGCAAATCACTATCATAAAATGTGCATATCGTCAGTTAATCATTTAAGCTAGTTTATGCCGCATCCACCCACCTGTGCTACAGGAAAGGCCTTTGGCTATCCGAAATCCTAGGAAAAGCTTCTACAAGTATGCTGACTGAAGAAGACATTCTTAAAAGAAATACCATTTGGGTCTGGGAATGTGGCTTAGTGGTAGAGTGCTTGCCTAGCATGCATGAAGCACTGGATTCAATGCCTCAGTACCACATAAACAGAAGAAGCCAGAGGTATCACTATGGCTCAAGTGGTAGAGTGCTAGCCTTGAACAAAAGACATTCAGGGACAGTGTCCAGGCTTTGAGTTCAAGCCCCATGACTGGAAAAAAAAAAAAAAAAGCAATATCATTTGGTAAGATTTTCATTTTTAGCATTTAATTTTAAAAGAAATGTTGGGGTTTGCTTATCTTTTAAAATACTGGGATTTAAACTTAGGGTCTTAAATTTGTGACACAGGCTCTCTAACACTTGAGCCATGGGTCCCAAGTCCTTTTAGCTTTCATTATTTTTTCAGGTAGTGTCAAGTTTTTTTGTCTGGACTGACTTGGGCTGTGATTTTCCTATATAAGTTTCCTGAATTGCTCAGAGGATACTCCTGGCTTTGTTGAGATGGAGATAGTATGTGTCCATGAGGGGTGGATATCACACTAATATTTTGCCAGGCTGGCTTTAAATCACAATCCTCCCAATCTCTGCCTCCTGAGTACCTAGGATTAATGGCCTGAGCCACTGGCTCAACCAAAATGTGGCTATTGTTCTAAAGAGCTATCAAGTTCATGGAGGAAGAACTTGCTTTATCATTTTTAAAAGGAACCAAACAAAAAAGTCTTAAACTGCCAACGTCTATAAGCAGACTTATAATTATGAATGTGTATGAATGTATGGTGTGTCTATGTAAAAGAGAGAGAGAGACAAACCAGGTGCTGATGGCTTATGCCTGTAATCCTAGCTACTCAGGCTGAGATCTGGGATCACAGTTCAAAGACAGCCCACTCAGTAGTGAGACTCTTATCTCCAATGTGGCTTAGTGGTAGAGTGATTGCCTAGCATGCATGAAGCCCTGGGTTTGATTCCTCAGTACCACATAAACAGAAAAAGACAGGCGGTGCTATGGTTCAAGTGGTAGAGCGCTAGCCTTGAGCAGAGAGGCTCAGGGACAGTGCCCAGGCCCTGAGTTCAAGCCCCATGACTGGCTTAAAAAAAAACATCAGAGGGGCTGGGAAGGTGGCTCAGTGGTAGAGTGCTTGTCTTGCATGCATGAGGCCCTGAGTTCGATTCCTCAGCACCACATAAGCAAAAAGAAAAAAGCCGGAAGTGGCGCTGTGGCTCAAGTGGTAGAGTGCTAGCCTTGAGCTGAAGAGCTGAGGGACAGCGCCCAGGCCCAGAGTTCAGACCCCATGACCGGACCCAAAAACAAAAACAAAAAAAAAACACCAGAAAACTGGAAGTGGCACTGTGGTTCAAGTGGTAGAGCACTACCCTTGAGCTGAAGGGCTGAGGGACAGCGCCCATGCCCAGAGTTCAAGCCCCACGACTCACACACACACACACACACACACACACACACAAAGAGAGAGAGACAGAGAATGAGGCAGACAGAGAGATAGAGACAGAGAAAGACTGAGCTAGATGATATACACCTGTAATGCCAGAGAATCAGGAAGTAGAGATTGGGAAGACTGCAGTGATGCCAGCCTGGGCAAAAAAAGTTAGTGAGACTCCATCATCTCAACCAACAAACCAGGTATGGTGGTCATTCCTGTTATCCTAGCTGTGTGGGAGGCCTTAATAAGATCATGGTAGAAGGCCCCTTTGCTGAATACTCTCAGAACACATTGTCTCCTAGGCCATGTCACGGAGAAGAGCAAGTTTCATTTCTAAGCAGATAATATGATAATATACCTACCTCATCATGAACTCTGCTTGAAAATATAGAATAGCAGTATGTGCTGTCTGTTGTGTGAAAAATTACTTTTCTAAGCAGGACATCAAGATAGTAATAAGGAGAACTAAGCAATTAATAATGTATCTGAGTGCAACACAAAATATATACAAACAGCATCTTTATTGTCCAATTCAATGCTTTAGAATGGCAACTTTCAGGAAGCCAATTTTCATAATCATTTTGAGTACCATCAGCTGCACACAGTTCTCATAAGACTATCCTGCCAAATCTTATAAGTAAGGGCCACTTCAGGATTATGGGCCAGTTCCCTGCACCACCATGGGACATACTCATATACCTGTTTGATTACAAGATATATCAGGAACTCACCATGAAGACTGAAGTAAAGACAGGTAGCCTGAGGACTTCCCACAAAGAAAGAGTGGCTGAGATTCTGCTCAAGGCTCTGCTCTGTGTTCAACCTAGCTAACGTCTTTTTATTTTTATTTAATTATATTTTTTGGTGCCAGTCTTGGGGCTTGAACTCAGGGTCTGGGCACTGCCCTTGAAGTTTGTTTTTTTGTTGTTGTTCCAGTTGTAGGGCTTGAACTCTGGGCCTGGGTGCTGTCCCTCAGCTCTTCAGCTCAAGGCAAGCGCTCTACTACTGTGAGCCACAGAGCCACTTCTGGTTTTCTGGTGGTTTATTGGAGATAAGAGTCTCACTGACTTTCATGCCCCAGCTGGCTTTGAACCGAGATCCTCAGATCTCAGCCTCCTGAGTAGCTAGGATTATAGGCGTGAGCCACTGGTGCCCAGCTGGGTTTTGGGTTTTTTTTTGTTTTTGTTTTAGTTTTGTTTTGCTGAAGGCTAGAGCTGTTAAGCAATTTCTCTTTTCTTTTTAGCTTTTATGTTTATATCTAACAATTAAATTATTTTAGTCACCTTCCACAGCATAGAACTAGAACTAACTTAAAGGCTTTGAATCAATCATTTGCATATTTAGTTTTGAGATTTTTGTCATCAAGGCACAGTTCAGGCTCAATTGATAGAGAATTGGAAGCATCTTCTAGACAGGCATATGGCTCATTTATCCTTGCCTATGGACTGCTTCAATCCTGCTTCTATCTTAACTGGGTACAAAAGCACAAGAAACATATTCAATAACACAGGCGCTACTATAGAGGAATTATTACCTCATTCTCAAAGATACTCATATTGTTCAAGACCTTAGCCAAGAAAATTGCTTACTGAGAGAGAGCTGTTTAAAAAAACATAGAACCCATTCATTCTTCTAACTAACCTGAATTATTTTTTGTTATCACACAGAATTGGCAAAGCCCAAATAAGAGCTCTTGTTACACCATGTTTGGGCATCAGACCATACAGAAGCACCTTAAAAAATGAAGACGGGTGATAAGAACTGCAATATCATAACTGCTATTTTTGTTTTCTTTAATATTGATTTTATTGTATAGATTTATCTTTCAAAGGATCTCTGGAAAGTATGGCTCCCAAAAGCCTTAAGTTGGAAGAAATGTATTTGTTCATGCAGTAACTGTGATTGATGGCATTGACAGTGCAGATTTCTTACACTACCAGGCAGAATTGGCAGTACTGGGGCCAAACATATATGGTAATAAGGAGTGCAAATACAGACTCTCAGGTGCCATCTTTCCAAATCACTACATCTCACTTCCTCATGGAAGTCATTTTGTTTAGTACTACCATCTTAACCTTTTTTTTTTTAATGTGAAAATATCGTATAGAGGGGTTACAATTACATGGGTAAGATAATGAATATATTTCTTATCAAGCATTGTTGCCTCCTGCTTTGTTTCCCCTTCCCATCTCCCCCCCATCCCCCGCAAAAGTTGTAAAGTTCGTTGTTTGACATAACGACTTGTACATCTCACTGTTGCAATGGGTCCACCTGTATCCCTAGTTAAATGATTTGTTTTTGCCCTTCCCCTCCATAAATTATACCAACATCAAATACAGGTTATACCATGGGGGAGGGACATACAAAGCAACAAAGAAATCATCTTATAAATATGTTAGAAACAATCGTATGAAAAAAAAATTTTTGAATACTTATCTTGGAGTTCATTTCACCTAACATCAACTTACCTGACCTTTTCTGCTTGTCTCAGACATATACTACAGTTATTGCAAATAAAGGAAACCATGGGACCTACGTTTCTTTGGTCCTGGCTTACTTCACTTAATATAATTTTTTCCAAATCTTTCCATTTCCTAACAAATGGGGCAATGTCATTCTTTCTGATGGAGGCATAGAATTCCATTGTGTATATATAACACATTTTCTTGATCCATTCATCTACTGAGGGGCATCTGGTTGGTTCCATATCTTAGCTATGGTAAATAATGCTGTAATAAACATAGTTGTGCTGGTAGCTTTAGTATGGTCCTGTTTGTGATCATTTGGGTAAATGCCCAAAAGTGCAAATCAAAACAACATTGAGATACCACCTCACCCCAGTTAGAATGGCTATAATCAAGAACTCTAATAATAACAGATGCTGGAGGGATGTGGACAGAAGGGAACCTTATTGAATTGTTGGTGGAACTACTTTGGAAAGTAGTATGGAGGTTCCTCAAAAGACTCCACATAGAGCTCCCCTATGACCCAGCAATCCCATCTTAACCTTTTGATAAGTTCAAGCTGGTCTTGAACTTTTAATGTTCCTGGAACCTCAATCTCTCCAATCTCTGCCTATCACGTAGTTAGGATTATAGGATTGAGCCACCTGGCTCCACTACTCTCCACTACTCTCCACTGAGGAAATGACATTAGGAAATTAGATAGCAAAACCTTGGCATTCTGAGCAAGGCACACTTACTGTGTTCTGCCGAGAGGTACACCACCCCAAGTCAGAAACTGTTTGTTGGACAAAATTGATGGAATATCTGAACAGCAGGGTCCAGGCAAAGGTGTACTTTCTGAAGAAATGACTTCACCCTTTAACAGTACTTCATACTGAGGTCCAAATGGCTGCACAAATATTTTCAAGATCCTAATACAAAAAAAGTCCAAGTCAAAGGCAATATATTTAATTTTTTTTAGCAAATATTTCCTCTGGACTCCCTCTGTCCTAAAGAGAGTGAGCTTGGTGCTGAAAATACAATGATAGTACTATTTCAGGGAAAAATACACACTGGGGGAGAAAAATCACAATAACATCTACATGGTAGGGCATGAGAAAATCACAGTACTCTGGGAAAAATAATTATGAGGAATTTAGGAAGAACAAGTTAGCCCTGTGCTGGGAATGTAGCTTAGTGGTAGAGCGCTTGCCTAGCATGCATGAAGCCCTGGGTTCGATTCCCCGGTACCACAGAAAAGGCCAGAAGTGGCGTTGTGGCTCAAGTGGTAAAGGGCTAGCCTTGAGAATAGAGAGGCTCAGGGGCAGTGCTCAGGCCCTGAGTTCAAGCCCCAGGACTGGCCAAAAAAAAAAAAAAAGCCTTGAGTGGAGGTTAAACATTCCAGATAGATGCCGGACTCTTCTGTATGCAGGGTTCCAATAGCAGACTAAACAGATGCAGTCATTCTGGATCTAAGCTGGGAGTAAGCAATGGTACCTCAAAGGTGTCGTCTCAGGTTGGTTTACAGATTAGAGTTCACACAGGAACAATGGTTTTCTGACTAGAAGTTAATATTTGCTTATTATTCAGGTACACAAAGTCAAAGACCTGGAGAAGGGAAAGCCAAGCCTTAAACTAAAATGACAAGACCAAAGAAGGAGTGCTTGGGAGAAAGAAAATAAAGCTAAAGAACATCCTGTTATTTTACTTCTGTCAGAATACATTTGAAAATACTGATTTCTTAATTTCTTTTCAGCTACTTAAAAACTTTTAGCGAAAAGAAAAAAGAAAACCTGACATTAACCAAGCTATATGATATATTAGATAAAGTTAAATTTTTACATTTATATTGTATAAATGGCTCTTCTCAGAGATGAGTAAAGACTTGTCATTATAAATATTTTCAGATTACCTTTCCTCACAGGCTTTGAGATCCTTTGGTGTAAATGAAACTGTCACTTCATGTTCTTCTCCAGGTCTAAGAAACAGATTCTCTGGATCCACTGAAAAGTGACTTCCTTGTTCTTGGACCTAAACAATTACATAATCACAACTCAATGTTAACTCACACAAATACAGCTTCTCTGGTTCTCTTTTCTTAGGTGCCTTTCTTATTTGCTAGGAAGGTTTATAAGTTCCTTTCTCCTTGTCATCACTGTCCCAACTTATTGTACTCCCTTTTGAAAGGATATTTATTCTTCTTCCCTATTCCCTTTGAAAGCTTTTTCCCATCCAATCTCCAATTCTTGGTCACCAACACCTCTTACCACCTAGGGATCTTAGTAACAATCTATCTATGTGGACCACTCTTCTCCAATTCTCTCTAACCACATATGACACAGAAACATTCCAACAACTAAATTTAAAACGAGGCTCTTATACTAAAAGCATTAGACTTCAACATTAAAGCATCACAGCATATATTTCATGCTATGTTAACACCAAGGTTTTACAACACTTTTGGAAATTCTAAGCTACACCGACAGTCCTTTTTTTTTGAGACAGAAAAAAGAAAAAATACAGGCTAGCCATGAATGTGCTATGTAGCCCAGGCTAGCCTTCAACTCAAGATCCTCCTGCCTCAGCCTTCCAAACGCTGAGATAATAGGGATATGCCAGCATGCTTGACTTCATAGAAATTGTCTGGTTTGATCCCCATTGGATCTTAACTGGGTAGGAACATGGCAGCCTTCAGATGGTGAGGGACAAAGGACAGACAGACTATTTCCCTTCCACGAAAATTCTTACCTTGATATCTAAATAAACTTCGATATTCCCAGCATTTTTCAAAGGCAAGTGCTGCTTCATTGAGGAATTCACACTGGCCAACAAATGCACAGTCTACAGGTAGGACAAAACATACACTTAAAAAACTGTCAATCAACTGAAATCAACCTCAACACCAAACAACAGCAGAAAAGATCTAAGAGTACCTGTAAATCCTTGGGGGCATGAATTCTAGCTATGCCTGCTCTTGCTCGGAGACTCACACTCATAAGAATTGGTGTAGGATTTGGGCTGTCAACTTCTATATCAACTCTTGCCAAGAATTCTTCTGCTGAGTCTAGAATCTCTAGAAAAATATGTTCTTTTAGGCCAGAAGCCAGTTATTTAAACCCACCCAACATTTCCATACAACACCCTTAAGGGACCAAAAGAAAATTTAGGCAAGAAGATTTTTTTTTTTTTGGCCTGTCCTGGGGCTTGAACACAGGGCCTGAGCACTGTCCTTGAGCTTTTTTGCTCAAGGCTAGCTTTCTACCACTTAAGACACAGTGCCACTTCTGGCTTTTTCTGTTTATATGGTACTGAGGAATTGAACCCAGGGCCTCATGCATGCCAGGCAAGCATTTTACCAATAAGCCACATTCCCAATCCCAAGGCAAGAAGATTTTGAGAGGAATAGCAATGAGTAGAGAGAGAGGAAGAAACAAAATATCACAATAAGTTTACTGTGGTATTTGCTCTCATTACCCATACTTAAACGGGTTTAACCCAAAGTATACCATGTGCTCAACTTTTCAAACAACATAAAATTCTTAATAAATTACTCAAAATAGTTACAGTTGAGAGAGGAAATAAAACATTTTTAAATTTATAGTTTATTTAGCTAAAAGTATGGTACCTGAAGAAGTTACTGGTTTCATTGGACTATGGAAAAGCACCCAAACTATCAGAAATTCTGGGTCCTACAGAATGAAAAACAATTTTTTGAATGTATGATGGAATTAAGATCCAAATAAACAGGAGAAGGCAATTTGAAAACTTTAATTCTAAGCCAGTTCTTCAATCCACCCAGCCTACCTGTCCATCAAAACTGGCTGGCAGGATGTGACTGACCACAGATGGAGCCGCTAGCTGAGCAATCACATCAGCGTAAGGAGCAGCTTTCAGAGAAGCATGCACAGGTTCCTTTGAAAATGTGAAGCAGCGCCATGCAAAGGCATTCTATTTAAAAATAGAAGCATCAGACTCAGTAAAATCAGGGTTGCATTTACCTTTCTCAACAAAACCTTTAACAACATTAATTTACTTTATGTAGAAAATTAGCAAAAAAAATTAGTAGTGTCTGCAGATTCAAAATCAACTCTAAATGCAGATTCTTAGTGCTTGTTTGTACTTACAGCATTAATAATCATTCTGATAGGCACCACAGCATTCGTCCTATTTATCACTTTCAGTGGGAGAACCTTCCAGCCTCCATATGTCAAGTCACCAAAATCTAGAACACCTTTCTTTTCTGTTTCTACCTAAGTATAAAGAAAGGAATTATTTATAAAAAAGCAAAGGCAATATGATAATAAATATCATAGTTTATGTACATATTACCACCTCTTAAATACACAAACTTGGCTAAAGTTACCTATAGAACTGTTGTAAGTAAGTTTCAGGTAAGCTTAGCTAAGTTTTCACAGACATGAGCTACCAATAACCAACTGAAGATCTGTATTATTGTTGTTGTGTGTCTGTATGCTGGACCTGGCAGGGCTTGAGTGCTGTTACTGAACTTTTTGTGCTCAAGGCTAGCACTCTACCACTTGAGCCATAGTTCTACTTCTGGCTCTTTTGGTGTTTTAATTGGAGATAAGCATCACACGAACTTTTCTGCCTCAACTCCAAACAACATACTTGTGAATAATCAGTAGATCACCAAAGAACTATGAGAAGAAACCCAAAAATTCCTAGAACCAAAGGAAAAAGAAAATACCATTTACTAGAACATTTGGAACACAAAAAAAGCAGTGGTAAGAGAAAACTTTATATAGCTATGAGTGTCTACATTAAATCATCAGAGCTGTCAAATAAATTACCTAACACTGTATGTCAGACTCTCAGAAACACAAGAACAAGCCAGTCAAGTGTCAGTGGCACACACCTGTAATCCTAGCTACTCAAGAGGCTAAGGTCTAAGGATTGGGGTTTGAAGTCGGCCTGAGTAGGAAAATCTGTGGGACTCTTATCACCACTAAACAGTCAAAAAAAGCTATAAGTGGATCTGTAGCTCAAGTGGTACAGTGTTAGCCCCCAAGTTCAAGTTAGGCCCCAAGTTCAAGCCCCAATATCAATCAATCAATAAAAGAATCAATTAAATTGAGATGAGTCTTCAAAAACTGAAATAAGCAAACTTAAATTAAGCACAAAATTAAAAAGGTAACAGTAACAAATTTCAGCTATAAGAATCTCATTTATTACTTATGGAAACATAAAGTACAACTGGCAATAACTATGCAAAGTAAAGATACCATTAAATATACCATTAAATACATCTGTCGTACATACTTTGAAGATTTACTCCAAGAATTTTTATGGATGGGATCTCTGTATAAAATTCCTGAACTGTGACCTATGTTCCCTAGTCAAATGCTATAAGTCTTTCAGGGTCCTAGGTCCTCTTCCACAAAGGTGGCTTTCATGGACCTGGCTAGCACTGAGGTTCCCAAACTTCTCTGCTTATTACACTCAAAGCTCAAACACAAATTCAGTCTACTGGAAATTCATTATGTGAGTCCTAATTGGTCAACCAATAACTTTCATAGAAGATAGTGACATTGCTATCTTCATAATTGTAAATTTTCACATCTGCTATAAAAACAAAAAAGTAAGCTGCTTAAAGGCAGTTTCAAAAGCCTCATATAGAGGAATGCATTGACATGATGAAAATTAATAACACTCACTCTCAGTGGTTCTCAATGGGGTAGGAGGGGTGACAGTGTCTAAAGACATTTTTAGTTGTAACAACAGGGGAAATGACTACTGCTCATATCTAATGGGTAGTTAGGAAAAGAGCTACACATCCAATACTGCCTAAGACAGGCTCCCACTCCCTAAAGAGTTAAAGAATTAAAGCTGAAATCCCTGATCTAGACTATGGTATACATAGCAGAACTGATGAACAAGTTTACTAAATGGCATGTAAGCAAAAGGAAAACTATCACTCTAAGTCTGTAAGTACATGAGAACACAGCATGAGGACATCTACAAACTCAACTTTCTCCTTCATATCCTAGAAAATAAACTGCTGAGTTACTATGTATTTCCCTGAGGAATATACTATGGGAAAAAGCCTGAATGGTTGTCCTCTTGAGGAGACTGCCTGCCCTTTGTGCCCCACAAGTCAGCTCTGTTGAATAAAATGATGACAAATTCACTTTTAGCAGGAGTTAAGTGTGGTTCGATAACATTTTTAACTTCAACTCACCTATCAGAAATCAATTTATTCATTATTTTTTAAGTTAAAAGTATTTATATTTAGGGAAACTAGGAAGAGGGCTAAACATCCTACCATGACAAGAATGCTCAATAGGAAATTCATTACCTTACTCATGTAACTGTAACCCCTCTGTACGGTATCTTTACAATAAAAAATGTTAAAAAAGAATACAAAGTTAGCAATGTTTCAGGCATTTATGTAAGAGCAAATTTCCTTAAGAGTCAACAAAATGTATATGTATTTTTATTATATTTTAAACAGTTTTGATCATCTAAGATGGCTTCTTGCTCAATTAAAGTTACAATGTAACCTATAATGTGAATTTAGATATACTATCTAAAGAAGAGATGTCAGTGTTTTTAGGAACACTATTGTCAAAATAGCTATTTTACTTCTAATGACTATAAAGAGCTACTCTGCCTTTCCTATTTTGTACCCTCCCCAATTCTCCCTCCATTCCTCCATGTTGTTCACTGTATTAATTCTGAGGTCACTTTGTGTCAATTAAGGTATCTCCCATAAAGCAGTAGTTGGTAACTAGGGCTATAATTTGTAATCATTTGGGAAGACTAAAAAAATGCTGATATTCATATATAATCCCTGCCCCACTCAAATATGGATGGAACTCAGGTATGAGAAAGTCCCAGTGTTATTTTATTTTTTAAATTTTTTTTGTCAGTCCTAGGGCTTGAACTCAGGGCCTGGGCGCTGTTCCTGAGCCTCTCAGTGCTCAAGGCTAGTGCTCTGTCACTTGAACCACAGCACCTGTGCTTATGTGGTACTGAGGAATCAAACCCAGGGCTTCATACATGCTAGGCAAGCATTCTACCACTAAGCCACATTCCCAGCACCCCCCCTTCCCCCGCCAATGTTATTTTAATATGCAGCCACAGCTAACAGTCATTGTGCTAAATAAAATTTCTTTCACTTTCAGACAATGGAGGCATGGCCCAAATAGAATAATCCCTAACAAGCAAGAGGTCTTGAATTCAAACCCCAGTACTGGACTCAGGGGAGAGGCCAAGCACCAGAGGCTCACACCTGTCATCCTGAATACAGGAAGGAGAGACCCAGGAGGATCATGATTTGAGGCCAATGAAGGAAAAAGTTCCAAAGACCCCATCTAAATAGAAAAGGCTAGGCATGATGGTGTACATCTGTAATCCAAGCTACAGCCCAAAGCACGAATAAGAGGATCATAGTCTATGTAGGCACCAGCAGAGAATGAGACCTTATGTCAAAAATAACCACAACAGCCAAGTACCAGTGTGTCATGCCTATAATGCTAGCTATTTACCAGACTGAGATCTGAGGATTGAGGTTTGAAGCCAGCCCAGGCAGAAAAATTTGAGAGACTATTATCTTTAACCAGCAAAAAGCCAAAACTGGAGGCAAATGGTAGAGTTCCAGCACCAGTGAAAAAAGCTCAGTGAGAGGAAGAGGCTCTAGTACTGTCAAAAAATAAATACTCAGGCACTGATGGCTAACACCTATAATCCTAGCTACTCAGGAGGCTGAGATATGAGGATCATGGTTCAAAGCCAGCCTGGGTACACAAGTTCAAAAGACTTTTATCTCCCATTAACTACCAAAAGAAAGCTGGAACTGTGGCTCAAGTGGTAGAATGCTGGGTTGAGCAAGACATTCAGAGACAGTGCTCAGGCCCTGAGTTCAAACCCCAAGTCCAGCAACAGAAATAAATAAATAGTTCAGTAGGTAAGTAATTAATAAGTGGAGAGGGACTGTCAGAAAATGGATGACTTTATGAAGAATAAGAATTAGGGACTGGGAATGTAGATCAGTGGTAAGAGTGCTTGCTTAGCAGGCATGAATCCCTAGGTTCCATTCCTCAGTACCACATAAACAGAAAAAAAACGGAAGTGGCTCAAGAGATAGAGTGCTAGTCTTGAGCAAAAAAGCTCAAAGACAGCACCCAGGCCCTGAGTTCAAGCCCCAGGACTGGCAAAAAAAAAAAAGAGAGAGAGAGAGAGAAGTGCCGGGCATGGGTGGCTCACGCCACCAGAAAACCGGAAGTGGCACTGTAGCTCAAGCTGCAGAGCACTTGCCTTGAGCTGAAGAGCTGAGGGACAGCGCCCAGGCCCAGAGTTCAAGCCCCACAACTGACCAAAAGAAAAATAAAGAATTATCAGAAAGATTTTAATGTTATACCTATTAAGATAAAAATCTTAGTCACTATACTTATATTTCTGAAAAAAACTAATTTTGGAGTAAGAATTACAGAATAAGAATTTTGGGATAATAATTGCTTAGCTTGAAACTTAGTGATACATTTTCCCACAAATACATTTTGCCAAATGTTTCTTCTCAGTTAAACAGCCTCCAACAATATGCTCACAGCAATCAAGTTACCTCAATAGCAGGGGCCTCGGCAATCGCTGTGAGGATGACTCTGCTTCCCAAAGCTTCTGCTTGTACTATTGTTTCAGTATCTGCTGAGAATGGCCAAGATGTGACGCTGAATATACATCTGAAAATCCCAGGACTGGATGGTATAAAAAGTACTTTTATCTCTTCTGTAACATGAGGTCTTATAATGACTTTATTCTTGAAAACTAAACAAGGGTATGTTGAAAGATCCACCTTAAAAAAAAAAAAGCCACGTGATCTGTCAAGAAATGGCTTTATGTTAAAAATCAAGAAGATTCACCTAATTTAAGTCCTCTCCCTAATCACTCCAATTACAAAATCTAAACATCAGCTGCTCAAAAACATCCCATTTTATAACTCATTATCAGAACAGTACAATTAGTCAAAATGTCTCTAATTGAATTTAATGCATAAGGGCTGAGACTCGGTAGTCTATTTTGAAGCAAACATATTTCTCTACACATTTCTCTAAAAAAGGAAGTACTGTCCAGATCCGGTGGCTCACACCTATAATCATAGCTACTCAGGAGGCTGAGATCGGAGGACATCAGTTCAAAACCAGACTGGGCAGGAAAAAACTGTGAGACTCTTATCTCCAATTAGCCACCTAAAAATTGTAAGTGGAACTCTAGCTCTGTGTTAGAGTACTATCCTTGGGCAAAAACACTCAGGTAACACCCAGGCTCCAAGTTCAAGCCCATAACCCCCCCAAAAAGAAGAAAGGAAGGAAGATAGGACACGCTTGGTAGAAAAAGTTTATTAAATGTCAAATTTCATCTCAGAATTATGCTTTGTGCTAATTCATATGAAAGAATGTGTGAATCCAAATATAATATATAATACTAACTAGGTGTTGATGAAACAGGAGAGGTCCAGAACAAAACATGTTGTGGTATCATAGCAAAAGGAGTACCCATCATATCAAAAAAGCAGACTTGTAACTTTTTATGGTGTAAAAGCACACCATTTGTCAAACTCATGGCTAGAAGATATAAGGTCATAGTATAGTCCAAAGTCCAAGCAACCCTAGATGGTTTATAATTACCATGACTTGTCTGTCTAGGCTAATGCAAATTTGAGGGAGGGAGGGAGGGAGGAAGGAAGGAAGGAAGGAAGGAAGGAAGGAAGGAAGAGAAGGAAAGAAGAGAAGGAAAGGAAAGGAAAGGAAAGGAAAGGAAAGGAAAGGAAAGGAAAGGAAAGGAAAGGAAAGGAAAGGCAAGGCAAGGCAGGAAGGAAGGAAGGATCTAGAAGGGCATGGAAAATGAAGCACTTCATAGTCCCAACAGTCTTTCTAGGATATGTTTTATACATCTCCATAACGCAGTGGAATGAGAAGTTAAGCTGCTTCTGAAAGTGTCAGACTAGCCTTCAGAACTCCTATGATATGACTCTAACCACCTATCCTCCTCCTGTACATCCACAGACTGCACCATTCAGACTCCTAGGAGCCTGTAAAGTCTTACTTCCCACCCACAACCCTTTCCTTGATACGAGCTGGATTTTCATCTAACCTGATGATCTGAAGTAATGAAAACAAGAAGCTACTGGTAGAAAAACAAGGGAGTAAAACCATCTACAAATGTTGTCTGGTAAGAAGCAGTCACAAAGCCAAGACATGTCAGAACAGAACTACTAACCTTATTTCCCACTCTCTCTACTCACTGGCATTCAAATAGTCATTATCCTAAGGAAAGAATATTCACAGTCCAGAATGATAGTAGCTGTAATTGATCAAGTAAGAGTGTATCTGTATGAGTTAAAGCTAAAACTGTATTTCCAAGTATTTCTAAAGACAATGAAAGCTAAAACTGTATTTCCAAGTATTTCTAAAGACAATGATCAGATAAATTATCGAAAAGATTCCCTTTACTAAATGAAGACTAAGTTGAAACAATAGCTTAGTATTTTTTCTCATAAATACTCAATCACATTTAGCAAACCCAACAAAATCATAAACAGAACATTCAGTGATTTATTGCTAAAGGCAAACTGACATGACTTTATAAAACTGACAATGAAATACAATGATTAGTAACTGATGGAAATGTAAAACATCCACATTTCACTTCTTACATTGAAAATATAAAACTACCCTGCTTTCACTATATTTGATGTCAGTATAACTTGTGGAGGAGATGGGGAAAAACCAGTTGTTTAAGGATACAGGTGGACCTGTTGCAACAATGAGAAGTACAAGTTGTCATGTCCAAAACGAGCTTTACAATGGTGCGGGGAAGGAGAAGGATTGGGATTGGGGGGGAGGGGGGGGGCTGGGAAGGGATGTGAAGGGTAAACAAAGGAGGAGGCTGCAATGCTTGGTAAGAAATGTACCAATAACCTGCCCATGTAATTGTAACCCCTCTGTACAGTATGTTCACAAATAAAATTAAATTAAATTAAAAAAATACAAAACTAAAAACTAAAAAAGGGACTGAAAGAAGATAAAATTATAGTTGGATTGGGTAGACAGGGAGTGGAAAACTTCCAGACCAGTAGAGAGAAAGGGAAGTTACCCACTCCACTGCAATGCACTGTAAAGTTTAATGAGAAAGACCATCAGAGCTCACCTTCTCACCGTTAACACTAACACTGAGAACCCCGATGCTAACTTGTAGCCAGCGGTCAGTTGGATTAAGCACACTCAGATGGGTCTGCGAAGCAATACCAACACAGCAAGCATGAGGAAACTTCAATTCCTCAGGCACTCTGACATTCCCTATGTAAGAAAAGTCAGAATGCAAGTTACATCAAACACTTGATTAAAAGCACTACTGGTTATATGGAAATTATTATGTAAGACTGCCTGCTTATACTAAGAGCTATAGTATTAATGCTTCTGACGTGTAGGAATCCCTCATTTTGTATGAGGCGCAGCAGAAACTGAAAAACTATTTTTTTGAAGCTCTATCTAGCTGGGGGGGGGACACCAGGGGGGGGTCAACAAAATCTTTATTTTACAAGATAATCAATTCTTTGATGTTATTATCATCAGATAATCCTGACCTCTTTTTCTCTCCCAAATTATAATCTACTACTTAACCTCATAAGAAACCACAGAGAATCAGATGTTGATGGCTCACTCCTGTAATCCTAGCTGCTCAGGAAGCTGAGATCTGAGGACCACAGTTCAAAGCCAGTCCAGACAGGAAAATCCATGAGATTCTTTTTTTTAACTGTATTTTTTTTGTCTTTTCTTTTTTGGTACTGGGGATCGAACCCAGGAAGTTGCACTTGCTAGGCAAGCGCTTTGCCACTGAGCTACATCCCAGCCCAATCCATGAGATTCTTATCTCTAATAAACTGCCAGAAAAACCAGAAGTGATTCTGTGGCTCAACTGGTAGAGCACTAGCCTTGAGCTGAAGAGCTAAAAGACAGTGCCCTGGCCTAGTGTTCAAGCCTCACAACCAAAAAAAAAAAAAAAAGAAGAAACCACAGAGGCTTTGACTTGGATTCTTAATACTACCATCATCTTTTCCCACTACCATGCCCCACACACTACTTCAATGGAGTAACTCATTCTGAGATCTAACCCTAAAGTGCATACTTGAGAGTTGGATGAATAACAAAAATCCAGTGAAGAGGAAAAGAAAAACTAGGAAGACAAAGGTATGGGGAGCACATTCCACCCACATACATACACTTAGTGTTGTTCTAAACCTACTTCAGTGATTCCCGCACACACAGAAGTATTTGGGGATGCTAAATATGGGCAAAGGAAAAACTTCAGAAAAACTCACCAAATCTTGGCATGGTTCCTGAATTCCACTGTTCAATTCCACAGTTTGCACCAACAGATTGCACTGAAAAAGGTTTTGCTGTATTCAACAGGTTCTGACGTAAAGCATTAGAACATGGGTTACAAAAGGAAGAGGGACCCATCAATCCGGAAGCAAGAGTTGGTCCTAAACATATCCCCATAGCCATATGTTCTCCAGCAACAGAAGGATAAGAATATCCAGAGAATCCACAGACTGAAGTGCTACCTGCATGGCACGGAGGCCTGTTAACATTTGCAGTTGAAGGGAAGGTCCCCAAATACTGCTGGGCCAACGGAGCTGTGCTCACAGAATGTCCGGTCCAGAGTGAAGGGTGCACAGCAGGCATGTTTTGCATATCAACAGCAGAGCCATGACCCATAAGACATGGAGGGAGGTTGAGCTGGTTTCCCAAAGTGCTCTGATTAAGAATCTGGCCACTGGTATCACTGCTGGCAGTTGAAGGGTCTTTAGAAGTTATCCTCTGACCTTCTTCTGTAGTCTTCTGGCTTGACCCAGAAAGATGTGATGAGGCTGATCCGGCCTGAAGGCCCACATCTGCTTTGCTCAGCAGAGTCAGACTGATCAGGTCTAGTTCACTGGGGTTTGGTGTCAAACCTTCCTCACTGGTTCCCACAGGCTCTCTACTTTTCGAGGACGAAGCCTGACTCGATATAAAATAAGATTCTCCATCCTCAGGTCTGCTACTCAAAGAAGTGGTTTCAGTTCCTTTTTCCAAATCAAACTTACTTTGAGCAATACATGATAATATTCCTTTTCTTCTGTTATGAACTGGAACTTTTTCTCTAAGATTTCCAATAGCCTGTTCCTCCGATAGAGTTAGTTTGGCTTGCGTCATTGTGCTGCTCAATTCACTGGTGATATCACTCTGGGTGTGACAAAGTAAAAAATAATCCCCATATATATAAACTGAATATAATAAATTCAACCATGTTTTTATGATCTCAAGTACTATAAGGAGATATATATGCATCCTGCCTCTAAAAGGAGTTGGTTTATATAAATATATAACTATAACTAAAATATACACCTATAAAATTCAGACTTACCTAAGAAAACTACAATGTTTTTTGTTTTTGTCAGTCGTGGGGCTTGAACTCTGGGCTTGGGTGCTATCCCTCAGCTCTTCAGCTCAAGGCAAGCGCTCTGCCACTTGAGCCACAGCACTACTTCCGGTTTTCTGAGTCATTTATTGGAGATAAGAGTCTTGCAGACTTTCCTGCCCTGGCTGGCTATGAACCGCGATCCTCAGATCTCAGCCTCCTGAGTAGCTAGGATTATAGGCATAAGCTACCAGCACCCAGCCTACAGTCAATGTTTTATAAAAAGAATTACAAGCCGGGCGCCAGTGGCTCAGGCCTGTAATCCTAGCTACTCAGGAGGCTGAGATCTGAGGATCCCGGTTCAAAGCCAGCCCGGGCAGGAAAGTTTGTGAGACTCTTATCTCCAATAAACCACTAGAAAACCAGAAGTGGTGCTGTGGGGCTCAAGCGGTAGAGCCCTCGCCTTTAGCTGAAGAGCACAAGGACAGCGTCCAAGCCCAGAGTTCAAGCCCCATGACCGACAAAAAAAAAAAGAATTACAGTCAGGCACTGGTGGCTCACACCTGTAATCCTAGCTACTCATGAGGCTGAGACAGTTTGAAGCCAACCCAGGTAGCCAAGTCCATGAAACTCTCATCTCCAATTAACCACCAGAAAACTGAAAGTAGAGCTGTGGTTCAAACTAGTAAAGTGCTAGCCTTGAGTACAAGAGCTCAGCCTGAGTTCAAGCCCCACAACCAACAAAAAAAAGAATTATATGTTCACACCTATAATCCAAGCTACTCAAGTGGCTGAGCTCTGATGATGATGCTTGAAACTTTTCAAGAAGGAAAGTCCATGACACTCTTATTTCCAATTAACCACCAAAACTTCAGAATTGGAGCTGTGGATCAAGTGACAGACCACCAGCCTTGAGCTAAAAAGCTCAGGTACAGTAGCTAGGCCCTGAGGTCAAGACCTAGGACCAGCACCAAAAAAAAGGGGAAAATAAATAAGCAGTATACATTAGTCACATCTGAAAAGCTTATACAAAGGACCAGGGTAAAGTCTTTTTTTTTTTTTTGTCAGTCCTGGGGCTTGAACTCTGGGCCTGGGCGGTGTCCCTCAGCTCTTCAGTTCCAGGCTAGCACTCTACCACTTGAGCCACAGTGCCACTTTCAGTTTTCTGAGCAGTTTATTAGAGATGAGTCTCACAGACTTCTGAGCCGTGCCCAGCTGGCTTTGAACTGTGATCCTCAGATCTCAGCCTCCTGAGTAGCTAGGATTACAGGCAAAGTCCTATTTTTTTCTGTGAATTAAGAGTTTTACATCAGCAAACTTTATAATAAAAAACATAAATTACTTAACAAAGGATGAGGGCAGTGGCAAGCTGTCAAATAATATGGAAATCAAATTGGAGTCAACACAAAGCCATTCCCAGGTCTTCCCTTGCCCATTATGGGTCTAAACTATGTCATATGTGTTGAAGATTTGAAGATACTTAATTCTGTCTGTACTTTTTTTTTCTTTTCAGTGTTACTAAGGATTGAACTCAGAGCCTCACACTTACTAAGCAAGTGCTCTACAAATTATGCCACACTCTCAGTACTTTACTGCTTTGTACGTTTTATGGAGTCACTTGTTTTTACCAGACTCAGACTATAATCTCCCTACCTCTGGCCTCTCATGTATCTGGACTGCTACACCTACATAGCTCCCATGTGGCTGGAGTGAACAGATGCACACTGACTAAGATGGGGTCTCACTAGCTTATTGCTTGGGCTGGCCTCAAATCAGGATCCTCTTGATCTACACTCCAAAGTACATGGGATTATAGGCATGAGCCATCACATCTGGCTTGCATTTTCCAATTTCTAAACTTATGTAGTTTTCTCTTAAGTATGAAGTAATAGTCTTAGTGAATGCTAATATTCTCATTCCTTTATAATGTATTACCTGACAGGTGACAGCTATAGCTCTGTAGGATAACTAGCTAAAATGCACAAGAATTTACTTCTCATTGATTATTTCTAGTACTTACCTTGGAAAAGAAAATTTGGACCAAAGTTTTAGAAACAATACTACCGATAAACATCAGATTGTCAATTATTGTTAAGAAGTAATATGTATTTCAAGGGTGAATTACTATGTGAATACCACTACCTTTCTCATATTATTCTGTCTAGTTGGTGAAGAAATAGGTTTAGGGAGGTTTGAAGGTGCTTAATGAGGTTCTGAGGAAGTAACAGAAGAAAAGTTTTCTGGATCAGCTATTTTCATTGTTGAGACAGGATGGTCCTCCTGCCTCATCCTCCTAAGTGATGGGACTACAGATATGTACTACCATGCCTGGCTATCACTAAGCTCAGTAGGCTAAGAATATATAGACTACATAACCGGGAACACCAAAAAAAATGGCATCCAATGAAATGGATGGAATATCACATTGAACACTACATCATGTACTTAGTAACTGTACAGTATGTATTTAGCTGATTGGTGGAGATATATTCAACATACCTACAGTAGTCATATTCAACTCTTTAAAACTGGATATGAAAGGCTTGGAACATGGCTTAGTGGTAGAGTGCTTGCCTAGCATGCACGAAGCCCTGGGTTTGATTCCTCAGTTATGCATAACCAGGAAAAGCCAGAAGTGAAGCCGTGGTTCAAGTGGTAGAGTGCTTGCCTTGAGCAAAAAAGCTCAAGGTCAGTGTCCCTGAGTTCAAGCCCCAGAACTGGCAAAAACAAAAAAAAACTGGATATGAAGTTGCTACCTGCAATCCTAGCTACTCAGGAGTCTGAGATCTGAGGATCAACGGTTAAAAGTCAGCCAGAGCAGGTCCATGATACTCTTATCTCCAATTAACCACCAAAAAGGCCAGAAATGAAACTATGGTTCAAAGTGATAGAACACTAACTTAGAGCAAAAACATTCATGGACAGTGCCCAGGCTCTTAGTTTAAGCACACATGCACACACACTCTCTCTCATCTTGAATACTGTTACATTCACACCAGACCATACAAGGAAAATACCAGCTTCTCTTGGATAAATATTTCCAGTCTCTTCATCTCCTCCCACAAAAGCTACCACTTTAGTGAGAGAAGGGATGGGTTAGGAGAGATGAGTAACAATGTTGTCAGATACTTCGTACTTATATATTGTTTGATAGAATGGGAACTTATTTGTACAACTACTTAAAGATAATTAACATAAATAAATAATTAATTAATCAATTAATTTTTTTAAAAGCTACCACTTTAGTACCAGCTCACACTATCTCTTGTCTTAATAATGGACACATATCAAATCTCCTTGGTTCTAATTTAACTCATTCTTACCTCTCTATCACATATCTACTGGAGTGTTTATTGGCAAAACTAGGATTTGAACTTAAAGGCCCTGTGCTGACTAAATAAGACACTCTACGATGCTCCTAGCTCTTTAGTTTTTTTTTTTGCTTTAGTTTTTTTTTTTAATAAGGTTCTCTCATTTTTTACCTCGGCTAGCTTAGGACTTTGATACTACTACTACACTACTCAAGTAGCTGGGATTACAAGCAAGTACCACCATATTCATTTTTGACTCTTTTAATTAAAACTGCAATCCTCCCACATTTTCCATCTCCCAAATAGCTGGATTACAGACATAAGCTACTATGTCTAGTCATGGAATAAACTTTAAAAATATTAAAACAGGTCATGTCAGTGTCCAGCTTTTATTAAAAGCCCTTTAAGGGGCTGGGAAGGTGGCTCAGTGGGAGAGCGCTTGCCTTGCATGCATGAGGCCCTGGGTTCGATTCCTCAGCACCACATAAGCAAAAAAAAAGAAAAAAACCGGAAGTGGCGCTGTGGCTCAAGTGGTAGAGCGCTAGCCTTGAGCCGAAGAGCTGAGGGACAGCTCCCAGGCCCAGAGTTCAGGCCTCACAACCAGACCCCAAAATAAATAAATAAATAAAAATAAAAGCCCTTCAAAATAAAAAATAAATAAAAGCCCTTCAACTCCCAAGTTTTATATCTAAGATTCCCTATCATTAGACCCTGCACTCTTTTCTATCCTTACTTCCCTTCCTCCACATGTAAGATTCACTAAAGCCATTCTAAACTTCTTTGGGGTTATCTAATGCAGTACCCAAATCACAATTCCACATCTTCCTCCCTGCTGAATTCCAAACAGGTCTGTAAAATAAGCCTTCAAAGACATTCCTCCCATAAACTTTTGCTCAATCAATTCACCTTGCCCTGAAATCTATTTTCAGGAAACTTCTTCTGAATCCCCAGAGCATACATGCATTAGTGTGTCTTCCAGCAGACAGTTTCTGAAATCAGTTCAGTAAACTACCTCTAACACTTACTAACACTACAGAAATAACTAGTTAATGCACATATATACCTATGCTAATTCTTTTTTTTTTTTTTTGCTATCCTGGGGCTTGAACTCAGGGCCTAGGCATTGTCCCTGAGCTTCTTTGTGCCCAAGGCTAACACTCTGCCACTTGAACCACATAGCCACTTCCAGCTTTTTCTGAGTAGTTTATTAAGAGATAAAAGTCTCATGGATTTTTCTGCCCAGCTGCCTTTGAACCACAGGTATGAGTCACATGCACCCAGCACACTAATTCTTTTTTTTTTTTTTTTTGGGTCCGGTCATGGGGCCTGAACTCTGGGCCTGGGCGCTGTCCCTCAGCTCTTCAGCTCAAGGCTAGCACTCTACCACTTGAACCACAGC